GGCTTGTTGATGAGACAATTTATGTCTTCTGCTTGCTCCAGTTCTCTTATTTATTAACACGATTTATTTCATTGTAAATTTTAATACATGACAAAACTCTTTGCTTAAAAAAAAAAAAAAATTAAGGCCTAAATCATTTATATTGATTATTTTACTTAATAAATCTAAAATGTATAGTCCAACAAACTCACAAACTTCTGCTCCGTCATAACTGCCTGTTGTCACATCAAAGCAGTCGGGTATGTTTTTCTTTTTCCAAGTTTCCTTATTAAAGTAAAGTAAGGTTTTTCTACAATGTTTTATTATACGGATTGTTTCTTTAGGAATAACTGTGTGGCTTTTTGCAAATTCGATTGTTTTATTTAAAATACCTGCAGTTATTGAAGGGTAAAAATCATTAATGTCAAATTGAATAAATGTACAGTCATCTTTATTTTCGATTATGAAGAACCAATTTATAACATCAGTGGTATTTTTCCACTGTTGCAAATTTAATTTATTTCTAAGAATATTATTAATTTTGTCCAATTTAATTTGGCTTACATGTCCAATCTATATAAAAAAAGCATAAGTAATCATTTCTAAAGAATTCTTTTTATAATAGTGTCAGCAAATTCCACAAATGAGTGAAAATTTACAGTAGTTAAAACATTTGCGACTTCCTGTAATTTAATTTTTTGGAATAAATTGAAGTTTTATTAATTTGATCATTCATATCTGATGAGTCTTTGTTGATAAAACACAGTGTAAAATGAAAAAAAAAATTTAAGTGATTTTCTACTAATTTATAATTGCTCTGTTCTTTTAAGAACATTGAGCACTCTATTTTGTAGAATACATTTTTAAATATATATATATATATATATATATATATATATATATATATATATATATATATATATATTTTTTTTTAATTATATATATATATATATATATATATATATATATATATATATATATATATATATATATATATATATATATATATATATATATATATATATATATATATATATATATATATATATATATATAATTAAAAACGAAAAAATAAAAAACTTTTATTATGGAACTTTTTAAGTTTCATGCCTAACGGCAATCATCAGCCATATATTACAAAATTTAAAATAGAAGTTAAAATTACAATTAAAATTGCGGTGGCGTGAGTTCTAATGACTCCATGGAAACAAAATTTTTAAAAGTTAAAACTTTTGCGATACTCTTAAAAGTGATACTCTTAAAAGAGTATCACGTGGCAAAAAAGTGACGTAAACCAATCAGGATCAATCTGCGGTATCATAGGAGGAAATAAGAAATTTATTTTTGTATCTACACCACTGATCTCAAAATATAACTCCCAAGATGGCGGCGTATTTAGTTGATTACAAATTGAAAAAATTTGGTTATGAACTTTTAAACCTTTTTTAAATGAAAATAAATGTATAAGCCTCAAATACAAATATAATTTTCAATTTTACATAGCAAATATTTTAACAAGAAACGCAATATTTCATATTTACGTAAATTTCTAAAATATATATAATATTTTGTTTAACAAAATATGCTCTTAATAATTAGTTTGTATAATAACTTTCTTTTTTATATAAAAATTAATTAATTAAATAAGGAAAATAAAATAAATATAAAAATTTTAAGTTAAATAATTAAAAATTAGTTTATTTAACATAAGTAAGAACGCACTAGAAACTAGTATTATACCTAGAACCTAATAGTTAACTATTAGGGCACCTAAATAACAAATTTAAAAAAATATATTTTGGCTGCAAAAACAATGCCGTGTTAACATGCTCAACTTATGCAACCTTTCCATATACATAAAAATTGGTATTACACTGGTCTAAAAAAAAAATTTTTTTTGTTGCATGAGATATTTAAATGTTTTGTATACGCATTTTCATTTAATAGTCACGGTAAAGAGAAATCACGAGATTGTTTTTCTTTTTAGATGAAGTAATATGAAAATAAAATTGTCGCTTCTTCAAATTGGTAGTGTAAATATAGTCCCAATTTATTCTGTCATACCTGTGGCTGCTTCCAAGTTAAACGTTTAATAAACGTATTAAAACGTATTATATACATATTAAACAAGTTTGTGTTTACTGGGTTTGCACTTGTCAGACAAAGACAAAACATTACCAATTTTTTAAAAGTAGCATACAAGTGATACTTTCAAGTTAAACTTGGTGACCTAGAAAAAAAGTGGGCTACACATACTGTGTTCAATTTTTGTAAAAAGAGTCTTTAAAACTGAACAAAATGAAAAAGAAATATTTAACTTTTAGAGCCCCCATGATGTGGAGAGAACCACTAAATTGTATTAATGACTGGTATTTTTGTCTTGTCAATACTTCCAGTATTGGAAAAGTAAAGAGGCAAAAAATAGCTCATCCATACATTTCTTCTGCTTGTAGTCCAACTTAACATTCTGAAGAAATTCTAGTTCCAATTTTTAAAGGTTTATTTTTGTCAGATGAAACTGATATTTTTGTCAGTTAAACTGGATTATTTAAGTAGACCTAAAAATGGTTACTTTCTCCTTTGTCAGCAGAAATATGAACACAATAATAACAGCCAACTTTAAGCATCCCAAATAATGTGCAAAATAGTTTTTCTACCTCTACCTCTTAAACTTGGTTTTATAAATCGGTCTGAAAACTCATAATGTTTAGCTTTAATAAAAATTTGTAGCTTGCCATAAAAATCTGATATCAAATTTGAATTCAGCGAATCAAAATTAAGAGCAAATATCAAAACTATTGCAATGAATTTTTTGTTAACTTGTGTTCAGGGCTGTTGAGTCGGAGTCGCAACATTTTTAGCGGAGTCGCTAAACAAAATTGCAACTCCATCTTTAATAGAAAAAACTATTGCACGTGCATGTACAAAATACTTAAACTTCAAAGAACTTTTTATATATTTGACAAAAAAAATTTTTTTCAATTATCGCTTAATAATTTTTTAAGAATTCAAAGAATTTTTCAAAAATTTTGCTTTGGAGTCGTACTCTGAAAATAACAACGACTGGGGTACAGTCTTGTTATTACTTTCCTTGCTTGTGTTATTACTTTGTTCTCCCTCCGGTTATATCATACCACATTGATTAATTTTTTAATATTTGCACCTATAATTATTGTTTGAACTGCTTGTTGTTTTAAAAACAAACGTGAAAATCTTTGAAAACGGATGAAAGGAATACCTTTTTCATTTCATACGGCGGCAGCAAAGTTTAGTTTTTGTCTATAACCTGATGGGAATCAGAAACTATTTTATCTCCAAAATTTCTTTAGGAGGTAGCCACCAATGGCTTCTGCCTCCCTATTGGTGTCAGCCTCAAAATTATTTTGCATCCAAAAAAATTCTGTCGGCGGCTGCCATTCGAGAGGCAGAATCCACTAAAGGTGAAAGCCAAACCATTTCGCAGCCAAAAAATTTGGCGAAAGCCACTATCAATAGCTTCCACCTCCCCAAAAAGTTGGCGATTTGGCTCGATTTTCGAGTTGGCTCGATTATCGAGTTACTTGGCTCGATTAACTCGATTACGAATCGATTATGTACTCTGATTTAAACACTTACCCGATACAAAATTTTACACTGGAAAACCAAAAGGTTCCTGGTAAGAAACATGCAGGACCTTAAAGAAAGACCTGTTAACTCGACTAATTTCGCCTACAATTGATGTAACAGCCTGTTCACGTTCCAAAGTAAAATTAATCCATCATGCTTCTATTAGTAATAGTAATATATATTTCTGCATAAATAATATTTCACAGAGTAGTTATAAATATAAATTTATATAAACTAACTGTACAGCCCACCAATAGTAGATGGTGCGCTATAGCAGCCCGAGGTTAGCCTGTCAAGTAAAATCTTAAATTCATAAACTGATTTTGATGTTTTAATGTCATTCGGAAGATTGTTCCACTCCTTAACAATTCTGTTTTTAAAAAAGAAAAAATTATTACTATCACCTAAACACGCGAGGGAAAAAGTTGAAGAGACAAGCCAAAGATGCAATCAGCCAAAACCAGAGAATCAAACGCAACAACAATACCAAAGGTAGAGTTGAAATGCTGGGTAAGTACAACTAGAGATAAAATGCTAAGTAAGTACAATGTAAAAAGACACAGTGCAAAAAGAAAAATGTAAAAGACAATAAATGCTATGTGCGTGATCCAACATTTGTTGTCTTTTGCATTTTTTCTACAATATGATTGATATTGCTAGTTCATCTCATACCATATAGAGAGAACAAAGCCCATGTCCCATTTAGGACAAAAGATCAAAGAAAAAGATTCTGAAAGATTAGTTTTGCGCACTTTCAATCGAAGCTTTTAGTACTAACCGGATGTTACTTTACTGAAATATAGAGATGTCACGAAGATCCAGATTTCTACGACATGTAAAAAAAAGTTAACTAAATTCGAAGACACAAATGTTCCAAATGCATCGTTGCCGCTCAACGAAGCTTTAAAACAAAATTTAATCATAGATAAAATATATTTAAAAAATAAAAATCATATTTATTAAAATAAATTTGAAAAAAAAACAAAAACAAAAAACTACTGGTGATACTATGGGCGTATTAAACCAAAAGATGTTAAGTCTATATTAATAAATAACCAATTTGATCAATAAAAAGGATATCGATATCGATTATTTACTTATACAAACAACAATAACAATTTTATTTCTTAAAAACAAAAAGCTACATTTAGAAAATTATTCAAATATTTACATAAATTACATATCGTAAAGTAGCCTTACATTTGAGTGAAAAGAAAACACCACCCAAGATAAAATTAATTTGTATAATAAACGAATAACAATGTTTATATATATATATATATATATATATATATATATATATATATATATATATATATATATATATATATATATATATATATATATATATATATACACATGAATAAAAATATACATTTTATAAATTTTATGATTCAGTATCGAAAAAAACAGCATTTTATAAGTTTTATGATTCAGTATCGAAAAAAGCAGCAATAGGTGATATTTACAAACATTTTCCCTTTTAAGTCAATAAAGAGAGCCTCATTATACTTTTACTTTCGATAATCTCCGAAACGGTTTATTTTTAAACAAAAATTCCATTAGCCTATAAATACATGTTTTAAAAATGATTATTTCAAAAAACACTTTAATTCTTATACATTTACAGAAGAGAAAATCAAGTTACCTTAGTTACCTTAATTATGAATACTTATTTTGAGTAAACGAGGAAAAGGTAGCTGAGTCAGGACTTCTTGGATTTTTATTTGTTATTTCTTCTTGCTGACGACGACGAATATTTTGAAGTTGTTCATCTGATGAGTGCTTTGTCGCTTCCTAATTTGTTATAAAAAAATAAAGATAAGCAAGACAAGTTAGAATTCAATAACCTCAAATCCAAAAGACTTCAAGTAAAATAGTTTGTTTTGACATAACAAATACCATTTATGAAAAAAAAGCCGAGTAGTTTTTTGAAAAAATTACCGTAATGACCATCTTTTTGGCCAAAGTGTGCATTACAAAAAAGGAAGCTATACATTTTACACATAGCTCTAACAAAAATTCAGGCAAAGCTTACCAAAAAAGTGCAAAAAAAGTAGCATAACATCATAACTCTTAAATCATAACTTGAGATTTAACGCCATGTTAAGTCTACTACAGATAAAAAAAGAAAGTCAACTATACTGAATTATATCTAGCTTAGCTTTGAATAAGTTAATATTTTTAGCTTCTATTGTTTCAAATAGCTATCTATTCCATACTTTGACCGTATGGTTTGTAAGAAACCCCTCACCATTACGACATATTTCTTGTAGGCGTATAATTGATGTTTGTTATCTTGAATACTTGAAGATAGATCTGAAATATTTAAAGAACACAAGCGCTTTGGTGGTATTTTCCAAACTTTTTCAATATTATGATATATATAATAGCATTTATACATTTGTATGAGATCACCTTGTAATATTCGGCATTTTAAGGATGTCAATTTCATTTTTTTTTTGTCTTTTGTATGAGAAATGAAGTAACTACGGTAACAATTTTGATACTCATTTTTGAATATTTTTTAAATGAGAACGAATATAACAGCAATACTGGAACATTATTAGTTCAGTATTTTATACTTAAATGATTTGAATATTATACCAAATTTGTAGTTTGCAATAGATGATGCAATATTGAATTGTGGTTCCCATGTTAAATCATTTGAAATTAATGCCAAGATCTTTTTTTAATTTGATAGTACTTCTTTCTTTACATTATTGTTAGTCATAAAATATTTATGATTTATAATTTTATTAGCCATATGCATGATTTTACATTTTTCACAATTAAATAACTTCCAGCTTATTGCCCATTTTTATAATATATCAATGTCATTTTGCAAAACGGTTGCAACAGTTTCATTTTTAACTTTAGCTGCTACTTTGCTATCAAATATATACTTTTTTCAGCCAATAGTTATCGCAATTAGACCTTCCTATATTTATGAATGGTAATGTACTCAATGAGTCATCTACCCTTCAACTTCTAGGATTAACTCTTACTTCTGATCTTTCTTGGAAACCATATATTAAATACGTTGCAAAATTAGCATCTGCTAAAGTTGCATCTCTTTATCGAGCTCGACACTTTCTTACTCTGGATTCTATTCTCTATCTCTATAAATCTTAAATCCGTCCTTGTATGGAATACTGTTGCCATATCTGAGGCGGATCTTCTAATGAAGGCCTTTCTGTTTTAGACAAGGTGCAAAAACGCATCGCAAACATAGCTGGACCTGCTCTTGCAGCCAACATTCGTACGTAACGTACCAACGTAATGTTGCTTCTCTTTCTTTTTTCTACAAATTTTAGTAGATGGCACAAGAGATGTTATCTACTAAAATAAGTAAATTAAGTCTCACTCTTTTTCTATGACTGTTCCTAAGTGCTCCAAAAACTCTTATTCTTCTAGTTTTTTTCCTCGAACATCAGTTCTTTGGAATTCGCTTTCTTCATCTTGCTTTTCTGATTCATATAATTTGCAATCTTTCAAGTCGTCTGTCAATCGTTATCTTGCTTTACAATCTTCATTTTTTCTCTTCAAGTAACTTCTAACACTAATTAGTAGTTACTTGCAGCCTTGTTGGAAGCAAAGATGTTTAAAAAAAATGTCCGCTTATAACATTATTTGATTTACAAGTTGGCTAGGAAGATCATAGTAAAAATAAAATTAGACCAAGCACAAGTTCTTGTGGCACACCGCTTAATATATTTGCCCATGATGATATTCCTTATCCTAGAACAACCCCTTGCTTTCTATCAGTTAAAAAAACTTAATCCACATCAAAAAAAAAAAAAGATGCAATATCATATGCCTCAAGTTTTAGAACTAATCTTCTGTATAACACTCTATCAAAGATTTTTTAAAAATCAATATAGAGGATATCAAATGATTTACCATTTGCAACATTTATTGTTACAGTATCCATATATTCCACCAGATAAGTAGTACAACTTTTATCTTTAGTAAAACCATGCTAATAAGAAAATAATAAATTATTTATATTCAAATAATATTTAAGTTGGTTCGATATTATACACTCTAAGGTTTTACAATGAATTAAAGTCAGTGAAACCGACCTTTAATTTGAAACATTATTTCTATTACCGTTTTTAAACAACCGCATTATCTTAGCTGCCTTCTATGAATTACTACACCAGCTACACCTTTATCTATTGTTTTTTTAAATAGCAAAGTTATAGAATTAGAAAAAGCATCTACACATTTTTTTATCACAAAGGGGTGAATCCCATCCAGTCTGACTGATTTTCTTAGGTTCAAAGTAGCTATCATGTTAGTAACTTCAGTTGAGGTATTGCTAACATATTATAGTGAGTTAGAACACTTTTTATCAAAGTTAAGTAAACTTCATTATAGTCTTCTGTAAATACCAAATGAAAATATTCATCAGAAAATATTCTGTAATGACACACCTATTAGAATCTTTGATGTTAAATATATTTTAATTTTTTGTTTGCTTTTTAGATATTTATGTAGCGGTTTTGGATCAGATTTTGCTATTTTAGCTATACATTTTTCATAGTCTATTGTAGCTTTTTAATCCTTCTATATAGTTCTCTTTTTGCTCTATTATATTGCAATTTTTTTAAGTTGTTAGTCCAATTTGAAAATTTATTAAAAGAAGTTTTTTTTTTCCTAATGTCATTTATTATACCTTTGTTAAGAGATTTTTTTATTTTAAAAATAATTTTTTACAAACGGAATAAATTTATAACAAACTGTATGGTAATGGTAATTGAAAATCTCACAAGAATCATTTATATTTTTGTTCAAGAACATGACATTCCATTTTATTGAATATATATAGTTAGATATCTCATTAAAAATTCATTTATCTTTTTAAGATTAAAGTTTTTCTTGCGTATGGCTCTCTGATTGTGATTTACAATGGTATAAAACACTCATCAAGACAAACAAACACTCATCAAGACAAACAAACACTCATCAAGACAAACAAACACTCATCAAGACAAACAAACACTCATCAAGACAATTTAAGAATTTTTCAGCTTGATTACCAATTGGCAATGTTTCATTTGAGAATTTAATTTCTTTAATTGCACTGTAATTAAAATCACCTGTAATTATAAGATCTGGAAATTTTTTTAAAAATTAATTTACTAGCATTTTCAATATTTCAATTGATTTTGGCGCCAAAATCTTTTCAATTCCAAAATTTAGACATGTCTTAAACATGTTCCGACTTTGTACAAATTATAGTTGGCAAGTTACTTCATATGAACTTAGTTGGTTTTTACATAAAAGGCCAACACCTCCACCTTTTTTCCATTTTCACAATCACAATGATATAATAAATAATTTTCTATAGATGTATTGGAAAGATCATTAAACCAATTCTCAGTAATAATTAATTCTCAGTAATAATTAATTCTCAGTAATAAGGATTAAATTTGGAGAATATGCCTTAATTGTGTGACACAATTTGTTTATTTTATTATTTAAGGACGTGGCACGTGGTAGCATAAAAACATTTTAATTTAGATTTAATGCCTGGTTCATTTATTTCTTGTTGTTTATGTTTACGATATAACCCTTTACTCTTAAATGCAGGAGATTTTTTTAAACTTTTAACAGACTTATGTAATAAATAGTTGTACATGAATTTAATAGATTCTTTAGAATTATGATAATTAGATTGATTTGATTGTTGTAAATTTAATGATGTTGTTGTTTCGAATCCCATATCTATAAATTTTTATGTTTTTATTATTGTTCTTAAGATGATAGTTAGTTCATTTATTTGTTCATTTATTGTTTAAAAAGATGGTGTGAGCTGGTGTTAAATATTAGTTTTTATAGACATTTTCAAAGCAATTATTTTTTCTTTAAAAAATGCACTAATAATATCAACAGCAGGGACATTAGGTTTGTTTGTCAATTCAAAAAGGCTACTGAATGTTTTTTCTGATATCAAATTTTCCACTTTTTTCCTTAAGGCTATATTTTTGACTTCAACTAAATTTAATTTAAATTTCCAAAATTTTAATCTTCTCCCAATGTTCTTGGATAATATCTTCTTGCAACTTTTCTACTTTTTGAACTCGTTTGATTAATTCAAATTAAATTTTCTAAACCATTTTATAAGTCAAAAAAACTTTGAGTATTTTTAAATAGTTAAACAGGTCTGCTAACTTCAATAGTATGCATGAATATCTTCAAATAATAACTCAACATATAAACTTAAATAATTCAACATAACTCAACATAATAACTGAACATAATAATTTAACATAATAACTTAACATAATAACTCAATAACTAAATGTATTTACATTTAGTTATGGAGTTATTATGAAATTTAAAATACACAATGTTTATTAGCAAAAATGTTTGTTAGCTAAAAAAAAACTATTTTAAGTTGATATTTAAGCCTATATATTATTCAATACTCAAATAATAACTCAACATATAAACTTAAATAATTCAACATAACTCAACGTAATAACTGAACTTAATAATTTAACATAATAACTCAATAACTAAATGTATTTACATTTAATTATGGAGTTATTATGAAATTTAAAATACACAATGTTTATTAGCAAAAATGTTTGTTAGCTTAAAAAACTATTTTAAGTTGATATTTAAGCCTATATATATATTACAATACTTTTTAATTTATTAGCCATAAACATAACCAGGGTTAGCAAAAACCCAACCCAACTGAGTTTTCGGCCCAAGTATCATTCAGGGGAAAAAAATCAAACCAGTAAGTGGAATTAAATGACCATATTTAGTGATCAACCAAACAGAGTAATATATAAATATTGTAAAGAGAGCAAAAAATAAAAAAATAAAGAGTTAAGATACATTTGGATGCAGAATAAAGAAAAAAAGGAAGCACTGGCGATTCAAATTTACTAAGGAGCATTTTGAAATTACGAGCCAATACGATAATGTAAGTTAGATATGAGCCAACAAATAGAAAACAGATATCTTCAGAACTCTCAGTAAAGGTAAATGAAAAAGTAATCAATTTAATAAAAAATGATCTTACTGATGATTGTGCTGTTGCCCTAATTCAAGATGATTGGAGTACAGTTAGTAATGATCTTATAATTGCTTACAGTATCCATAATTGAAGTAATTAAAATATCCATAAGTAAAGTAATCTTATTTCTGCAGTTGATATTGGAAGCCAATCAAAAACAACTATTTAGCATATATAGAATATGAAAAAATAGCATGCAATCAAATTTAAATAAAAACAGTAAATGTAAAAAGCTAAAATATTTGTACCAATTTACTGACATTTAAGATTAAGATGCACAACTGCTAATGACTAAATTTTTAGATAACTTCATTTTAAATTTTGAGTTTTGAATATTGCTGTTTTTTCACTTGCATCAAAATTCTATGAAGTCGTTATTCCCTCTTGTATCATATTTTCCTAGTAAAATGAAATTCTCATTTATGAATCACAAAACTCCTTATTATTATAATTAGAACAGTTGTTGAACAATTTTCAAATTAAATTTCAAACACTTCAAATGTTGAGTCAAATTAAGACTGCAAGCGGAAATTAATTTATGAATGAAAAAACTAAAAAAAATCCATTAAGTTGGGTTTGTGGGTGGGTTTTAGACATAGGTTTTTGGGTACCAACACTGATTTAAATCAAAATACTGTTGTTTTTTCTTATTTAAAGAAATCCACTAAATCTTTATAGATTTAAAGTTGCTTACATCTGCTTTGCTAGGATCTGGCAAAAATACTCCAGTTGGCTCAACAACATTGGATACCTAAAAATGTGTAAAAGATATATTCTATAACAAAGTTTAAATTGAAAAAAAAAAAAAACTTATATTGCAAAAAATAAATACCCTTGATTTTCCATCTCCTTCACGATTTTGCATTCTTCGCACTAAAGCTTTCTTCATTTAAAAGTAAAAGAATAAAAAATCTTTAAAAGTTGTTTCATTTTTAAACTAGTATGTATAAATTTCAACTGCAATTTAATATATATGAAAATATTACCTGAAACTCAGTCAAAGTTTTGTGGCGCTGAAAAATTAAAAAGTGTAAATTACAAAATAGTTGAATTTTCTGAAAACAGCATAAAAAGAGATAAAACAATGTTATTACTATTTTTAAAAAATCTTTGGTTAAGTGGGATTTCTTTTGGCTAAGTGAGATTTATCAAATAATTTTTTTTGATACTTTATAATAATCCTGAGACATAGAAAATGAATAAAATGGTATATAACTAAATGTTTATGGCTCTAGTTGCTTAGTAACAAAATGTTTAACTGGCTCCATTGGGAAACATAGTGATGTTTCCCAATTGCTATTTAACTTCTTTGTTACAACTTTTAAATTAACTTAGGATTTTATTTATTTAAAATTAGTTTTTTTCTATCCTCAAAAATATTTAAATTTTAAAAATAAAAGCTTATTCTCAAAGAATTAAAACTGTTTGACACTGAAAATTGGGGTATTGAGCAAAACATTTTGATTAAACTAGTAATTAAACTTAGCTGCATACCGTTTTTGCTCCATTTTGAACTTGTAGCTCTTCGTGCAATTGACTTCCTTCATCTTTACCAATTAAGTCAACTAAGTCTTCTTTATTAATTTTGAACAGCTCCAAAGCTGTTTTGCCTCGCAATATATCTATTGTTCTATTAACAGAAAAAATTAACTTTAAACAATATCTATTGTGTTTATTAAAAAAAAAATTAGCTTAAAACAATATATCTATTGTTCTATTAAAAGAAAAAATTAACTTTAAACAATATATTTATTGTTCTATTATAAGAAAAAATTCAGCACAAGCAAAACAAAGATCAGCTAATGATTGATCTTTTCTCATTAATATGACCTCCAGTAGTAGCAAAAAATTCATTATAACAGATCTTAAGTGATAAAGTTGTCTCTATTTTTAATCTATCAATAATTGCATACCATTGCTTCATTATTTTACAAATACCGATGAAATCAAATATAATTTATGAATAAAAATGTGATTATTTAATCAAACCAGTTAACACAGTTTAAAAATATAACATAGTATAACATTTAATAAATTTAAAAAAAATATATACCATATTCAACAAGTACAAATTACAGGTTGGTCAAACTTTCAATAAAATATATAGTGATATTGATATAACTCAAAAAATGCAATTTTTTGAAGTTTTTTGTTATAAATAAATAGACCAAGTTAAGTCTAGTAAAATATCAGAAACTGTAAAATTTTGAAAATAATCATTTAAAAAGACACCTTTCTAACATTCTTTTTTATGCAATTCAACTACTTCAAAAATGCTTAATTTGTCAAAATAACATGACCACAATCCAGAAAAAGACAAAAAAACTTCTTGATATAGATTTATACCAATTGAAAGGATACTAAACTTAGAACTTACCTGCATACACTAACAACACATTTTGTTTAAAATTAAAATTTTAAACAAATTTTTGTTTAAAATTTTAATTTTGTTATCATATAACAAAATTAAAATTTTAAACACATGCATAGTGGAACACGTGGTGGACAAAAAAAAAAAAATACATTTTTAAAAATTACATTACAATATACTATTTTGAAGCTTAAAAATTCAGCTTTTATAAAATATTTTGGTACATTTATTTGTTCCAATTGCATTTTTTTTTTCCTTAATAACTTAAATTATATGAAGTCCTAAAAAACAATAAAATTAATTACGTTATATAGTAAAAATTACCTGTCACTAAAACCAAGTTTATGCAACCACCTACTGACATCATCAGCAGTAGAACTTTTGTATAGTGGAATAAACACATCAACTATGAAATAAAAAAAATAAAAGTAAATTTATATAAAAATACACATTGTAAGTTTGCCAAAAAAAAAAACAAAACAACTCTCTTAATCTCTTAAGAAAGAAAAGAAAACACTCAAACAAAATCAAAACAACTCTTTGTGCCTTTTGAAAAGCAAATGTTACAAAAACAAATCACACACATGTAGCAAATGCAGAAAAAGTGTACAAAAACACTGAGTATTTTACATTACATATTTACTATTGTGTGAATACAAAATATGGAACTATTCAATGTTACAGAGAGGTTTAAAAAAAATGGTCTTCACTTAAAATTATGTATATTTAAAAAAGCCTTTTAACATATTGGTAAAGTATATTATGAATACTATTTTATTTTTGCATAAAGAAAAAGCAGGAAAAAAAAGATCTACCTGAGTCTAAATCAGAGATACTAATATCTGATCTAGCATCAATTGAAAAATCATATGCTGTCTGTGCATTATTTTGTTTATAGCTATCCATAGCTCTTTTTTCAACATTTAGGTCATCTCGAAGTTGATGCAAAGATAACTTTTCCTTTAATTCAATATGGAGGTCTAAACAAAAAAAAAATTAAAACAAACGTTTTTTAAACTTAATTAAAGTTTTCAGTGTCAATATTAAAAAAAACACACATTATAAAATCATAAAACAGAATTTTGATAGACCAAGATCAAATGTTTGATTTGTCATATTTATATAAATATAAAACAAATGAAACATTTGCTCTTTAAAACTTACACATAGCTTATCATAAATTGTTTATTTGCAAAATTTATTAAAAAATATCTATAAAACTAAACATAACAAAACATTTTTTTTAACCCTTTTGCTGCTCTAGACATATATACTTGCAAAACCTTGTTTTAGCTTGCGTATATAATTGATTATTAACTGCTTTATATGTACAAACTTGCCGTATTTAAATGCGTCAAACTGCTCAACACGAATAAAGACGCAACTATGAAAAATAAGCACACAGTGAGCACAATATCTCAAAGCACGTTACGAAGTGCGTTATCGCAATAATTTAGACCTTCCTATATTTATGAACGGTAATGTACTCGATGAGTCATCTACCTTTCATCTTCTAGGATTAACTCTCACTTCTGATCTTTCTTGGAAACCTTATATCAAATCCGTTGCAAAATTAGCATCTGCTAAAGTTGCATCTCTTTATCGAGCTCGACACTTTCTTACTCTGGATTCTATTCTCTATCTCTATAAATCTCAAATCTGACCTTGTATGGAGTACTGTTGCCTTATCTGGGGCGGATCTTCTAATGATGCCCTTTCTCTTTTAGACAAGGTGCAAAACGCATTGTAAACATAGTTTACAATGCGTTTTTGCACTTCCTTTATCTTGCTTTACTGATTCATATAATTTACAATCTTTTAAGTTGTCTGTCAATCATTATCTTGCTCTACAATCTTCATCTTTTCTGTTCCAGTAACTTCCAACACAAATTAGTGGTTGCTTGCAGCCTTGTTGGAAGCGAAGATGTTAAAAAAAAAAAAAAAAAAAAAATATTTGTTATTTACTGTCACTATATACAATAGAACTTTGTTATTTACTGCAACTATCTACAATGGAATATTTGTTCTTTACTGTAACTATCTACAATGAAATTACAATGTAATATTTGTTATTTACTGTATCTATGTATGATGGAATATTTGTTATTTACTGTAACTATGTACAATGGAACATTTTTTGTTTACTGTAACTATGTACAATGGAATACTTGTTATTTACTGTAACTATGTACAATGAAATATTTGTTATTTACTGAAACTATGAATAAGAAACACCTTTTTTTATAACAAAATAAAAAGAAATCAAAGCAACTTAACATATTCTTAAACACAGTTATAAGAGCTCTCATTAAAAAATTTTTATTTTCTCCAAATGCATTTACTTGTGTAACAAAATCAAAAATAATACAGTATGCGTGATGAAAATGAAAGTACACTGTATTAAACAAAAAATACTCAACCTTCTGATTGAATTACGGACTTGGTTCAGGCCTGAACCAGTGATAAGATGAAGGATGAAGACCTTCAAGTCATTGATACTGTTGTGGGGATATTCACAGACTTTTGACTGGACATATGCCTATATGGAGAGTCCAATGGGTTGAGGTCTGGAGAAATGAGCAGCTATATATCTTTAGACCAGAAATTTTAGACTGGCAGATTTTTACCAACCCAATCCTGAGTCTTTTTTACCCTTTGATATGGGGTACCATCATGTTGAAAGACTTTTTTTTTATTAGAAGTATAGTTTGAAACAGTCTAAGACTTCACATAGCCATTTAAAATGCCTATATACACTTCTGTGTTGATTTTGACACTAGAACCAATCAATATTTTTGGAATTTTTTTACAATCTGAAAGCACAAGGCTATAAAACCATAACTGAGGCCGTAAGCTTAGTAAGAACTTAATTCCGATGTCATCTGAAAATTCTTCTGGTGTCTTGTTTGAAATGTACCAGTCAGTTAGAGTATTTCAGATTAAATCCACTGTTAAACCTTTTCATCTGAAAACAGTAAAATCAATGCACCTTTCTTCAAAGTACTCAATATTTTCTTGGAATTTTTAAGTCTTTTGGTCTTTAAGTTCTCAATAAGCATATGAAATATATATAAAAACGTAAAAGTGTAAACAATAATAAAAACAAGAATATACTTAAACAAAATGAGCACATGTGTAGACATGCACTTTTTTTATTGTGGACATTCCTATATTGAAGAATGGCGACTCTCCCAGCAAGTCCTCTACTTTCTGTCTTTATTCATTACCAGCTGACCTCTCATAGTAATCATATAGACAAACTCTTACAAAGTTAGCATCTGCTAAAGTTGCTTCTCTCATGCTCGCCATTTCTCTTATTTTTGCCAATCTCTTAGTAAGACTTTAATTGCTAGAGATGTTTTGACAGATGAACAAAATTGAATATTGCCTTCTAACTTAAAAAGAAAATTTTTCAATTATCAACTTTCAGGATTAATAAGTTCTTATTCAAAACTAAAATAAAATTATAAATTAAATGTATTTAACACATTTTTTTAAAATTACTTTTTGACTTTTTGAAAGTCAAAATTGAAGTTTTTGTTTAAAATTTTTTTCAATAACTGTTTTTGGCTAAAAACTGATTGAAACTAACTTTAATAGTTTACTAGTTTTTTATTTTAATGTTAATTACTACCCCAAGGCTGAGAGAGCCACTATAGTCATGGAGGCTACTTTATTGTGATAACAACTAACTCTCAACTCATTAACTCCAAAACACAAACCTTGATGTACAAGGCCGCTGCACAGAGAAACAAGTTGAGCATGATACTACTGTGTAGATCAAACTTGAAACTTCTCGCATATAAAGCAAGCGTTCTACCACTACCACTTTTATTCATTTAGAGAGGTTCTAACCCTGCAATAAACTTGATAATACAAGTTTTATGTGTAAGAGGGTTATATACCACAATAATACTAATATAATAACTTCCCACTCAAACATGCAAAAAATATTTGCCATTACTAGCTTGCTTAGTAACTACAGTATATATGTACAAGAACAAGAACTCTATTTAGTAAAAAATTAATATTTTACAGCAATCACACTATTTTTATATGAAAAAAAAATGGATCTATAAATGTCAATATTTTATATTATAACTTTTATCATAACTAATTTACAGTAAAAGCATTACATCAAATAAAACGTAACACATAAGCTAACACTTAAAACTGCAATGAAAAACACATAAAGAAAATACCTGGTTGATTTGATGTTTGGTGCTGATATTGTACTAAAAAAGAATAACTAATAACAGTTAAAAAAAATTATTAGAAATAACTTCTATAAGTTATGCTTTGAGGTGCACGTTTTCAAGAAAAAAGTTCAAATAAATATTATGTCAAAAGAACACAAATTTCAGAAGATTTGTGCAAAAAAAATTAAGCAGTAATTAATTGTTGAAAAAAACATTTTTTTTTAATTAAAAAAAACCCAGATAAATAACAGTTATATAAATTTTTTTCTACTTTCTGTTTTTATAAAATTTATAATTTAAATTAAATTTATTTTATTAAACTTAATTTAAATTTAAAAAAGATTTAAAATGGTCTAAAAAACAATACTTTTTTTACTGTTAAAATTTTCAAACTATGTTTTAGAAAAGGAAATTCTTTTTAATAAATTTAATTTAAAATAATTCAACTATTTTGTTTATTTATTTATAGTTTCAAATCAATAACTTATTTTTCATCCCATTACAAAAGTGCTTAATGTACTTATAACTGTATATAAATGCATTGCCAGATAAACTGTAATCCAGCCTGTAGGCAAAATTACTAGATTCATTAAAAATATTTTAAAGAATCTTTTTAGTAAACTTTATATAAAAAATTTATAAAAAGATGAGTTTTTTCCTTTTGAAATTGCTTTTTCACAGAAGTTTTTTCTTTATCATTAATTTTTTAGATTGATTATAGAATGAACAATGATTAGAAACTTTAGTTTATAAGTAGTATACAAAGATTTTATTAAAGCCAAAATGTTGGAAAAAAAAATAAAGATAGTTTTTAATTTTTTTTTTGGACCTTTAAGAAATTTAACCATAAACAATTGCCCTCTCATTTAAAAAAATAAAATATGTTTATTTAGTAAAGGTACATTTACTTGCATTACGCTTTTTCGTTGTGCAACAAATTTTATAACAAGACCTGAAAACGTATATTAACTGCATGATTTTTTAAACTAAAAAAAATGTATAATTTTTTAAACCTTTAACAGTCTCGTGTTTTTTTAAATTACGGTTGCTATTAGTCCAGCTTTTTTTTTTGAAGTGGTCTCTAAATGTCCCATGTTTTTGAAAAAACATTGTGTTTTTTTACTAATAAATTAAAAAAAGTTTTTTCACTATTTTAAACACTATTGAACACTACGAAATGTTGTTATTCAAGTTTTAGAATATATAATCATACTATACAAACACAAAATTATAAAAATATATTCACTAATATTCACTTTTTGTTTGATAATTGGCAAAGCATAGAGCTTCAATAAGTGCATCACATTCTACACATTCATATCTTATCATACCACACAATTAACCTTTCATCATCATTTTTATTAATCATTCATCAAATATATCTTTCTATTAATCATTCATCAAATTTATAATTTTCTATAAAAAATATTTGCTTTTATGATAATGATTTTTGCACGAAAGAACTTCCTTATTGACCATATTTAAAATTAAAGTGAACACGTGTAAAAGTAAATTACTGAAAAAAAGCTCTGTAATTTTGTAGTAATAAATTTTGTGACGATTAAACGTATAATAACTGATGAATAAGAAGGAAATATGAGGAAATACATAAAACCGTAATATTACGGCATGGACATTTGGAAACCAATTTCAGTTTGCATAATATTACGGCATGGACACTTAGAAACCACTTTAAATTTGCGTAATAATATATATAAAATATATTTGCATAGACTGTTAAAGGGTTAATATATTTAGTGTTTTTAAAAGATACAACAGAAAATTTATTTTAAAAACTTTGTTACTTTATTTTTAAATAAAATTATATTTAGAAATATATTTTGATTTATTGAATTATGGTTATTTGTTATATCATGCATACACCATAGTGATAAAGATGCTTTTATTTTTATTATCGTTATATTTATTTCCTGTTTTCAAGAAAAATGTATAAATTTTTTATACATATATATTTGTAGAAAAAATTAAGTGGATACAAATATTACATATACTATCTTTTTTGGAATTTATTTTTAGCAGATAAGGGATTTTTGTAGGTAAAATGTTCTATTTTTGAATTCTAATTCTAACTCTTTGCTTCAACTTTTTATTCAGTTAAAAAAAATCTTAAGTTGCTTAATATATTGAGTTAATTTACAAACAAACAAAAGAAAAAAAAATCTTTAGTTAAACTTACAATTGGCTTCTCTTGGAATAGTGATTGATTTTGGTGGCCCAAATGCTGTGGGTGGGGGAGGAGCTGGAGGAGCAGAAAGTTGTGTGGTATAAACAGGGCTTGGCTTTGATTGTCCTGTATTCAATGGTGAAGGTTGGTTTTGCGACTTTCCTTGGTGAGGACTAATTTGCGTTTGAATAGAAATTTGTTTTGCATATTGATTGTTTGCACCTTTTCCTTCAGGTAATTGTACTGATATAACAACTGGAGTTACAGAATGTGTAGGGGCAAATGATAAAGAGTCGCTATTCACATAATTCTGATTCAAACCAAATGAAGATCCCTGATAAAGAAATGATCAAATAATTTCCAAATTTGAAGAAGAAAAAAAAATAATGAAAAAAGACATGACTTAAAATATATATCCAACTATAATAAGTTATATAAGTTAAACAAATAAAACAGAATCAATAAAATAAATTATGAACTTTTTTTGGTAAACCAGTTGGACTTTGCAGAGGCGTAGATCGATTACTACTTGTATCAGAACTTTGGTCAGAATCTTAAAATAGAGATAATGATAACATGTAACAGTACATGCATTTTACATAATTTTACATGTAAAGTCTCTAATCTAACATATAAACATAAAATATATTATTTTAAAGTAACAATATTAAATATAAAAATATGTTAATTTAAGTTCCTACTAATAAAAAGGCATTAAAACGTATATATATTTTTTGCTGCATAGCATGCTTTAAAACTTTGATATTTTAAAAAATTAAAAAAAGGTGTTTATTCTTTTAAAAATACTCTCCTACGACACAAAGAGTATAAAGAAATTATAACATTAAAATTTTATGAAAACTTTAATTTTGCTGTCAATTTAGATTTAAAATCAACCACCTAAGTAATTTTAAGGAAAAAATAATATTTAATGAGTTTATTTTATGGTCTTTTAATATGGAGCTTAATTTTAAGGTTTCTGAAAAAATTTGTACTTTTTTTAATAAATGTTTTAGCTTAGCGATTATTTTTACTTTATGCTTTAACAGGATACCTAAAGATAGTGAACTAATAATTGGATCTGATAAGACCATTGCCTCTATTATCCTTAAATTCCTGACAAATGAGTAAATAGCAGCTAATAGATATTCAAGTATCTTATTACTAGTTATTATTATTATGTATTTCAGCATAAAGAAAAATTTACAAAACTAGTTGTTATAAAATGTAAATACGCAACTGGAAGAAGACAAAATTAGTCTTATCACCAAGCCTTAAAGTTCCTACTAATCTCCACAATTTTAATTAGAAATTAATGATTTTCGTAGTGTCTTTAACAAATGTTTCCTGTCATACTATTACCAGTCTCATACTATCACCATTCTGCCTCTTTGCTCATTGACTCAAATTCAAAATTTAAGTTAAATGAGTTAACAATAATAGTAGGATTTTTTTTTAGGATAATTTTGCCATCGTAGGATGGCAAAGTTCTAGCATTCATCACAGGCTATTAAAAATAAATGAAAAGTCCATTGGAACAAAATTGTCAAACAAATTATGTTTTATAATGATACCTATTTCTTTTTTAAAAAAGTCTTTTTATTTAACATTGTAAATCCATGTAGATATATCTACAGAATCTTACATTTAGAAGAGTTGAACTTTTTTTCTTTTTTCCTTAATTTGGTAGCTTAGTAATATACCAGGTGCTGTCATGTGTGTATCTTGATATAAACAGTATGTGTATGGTGAAATAACTAAATGCTTATTTACCTGACAACATTTTTTCTATTGTATAGCATTTTGATTGCTTTAGTTTGATGATCTATAATTCAATTATTAACTGTTATAATTATATTAGTCTCTACTATAACCATGTTTGAACCATGTCTAATTATGTTATCACCATGTTAATCTATATTATAACCATGTTTTAACCATGTATAATGGTTATTATAATTAAGTATAATTCTTTCTGCTGATTTTCTGGCAATTATTTATTCTATGCACTTACTTATTTATTTTTTTATCTTCTATGCAAAAACCTCAATGAATTTGAGGTATTACTTTTCAAGAGCAAAAAAAAAAAAAAAAAAAAAAAAAAAAAAAAAAAAAAAAAAATTAAAATTAAAATTAAAAATTAAAATTAAAAAAAAAATTAAAATTAAAAAAAGAAATTTTTTTACTCCTGAAAAAAATGAGTAATTAGCTTTGACAACAGTCAAATGCCTTTAGTGTACTTTTTGATGATTTTTCTATATTTCCTATAGAGCTTTAAATTAGCTTTAAATTAGCTTTAAATTAGCTTTAATATAGCGTTAACTATTCTAGAATTAGTTGCTTCAAATTCTATTAAAAAACGTGTTTTTATTTTTATTTTTTTAACAATAACAATGTTAATCTAATTATGCGTACTAATGTGCATAACTTAATGAGCAGTCTTAGGTATTGATCTACCAGTAGGTAAACTTATCAAAAGAACTAACTGGTAGGAGCATAAATTAAATTATTTAAAAAAGGTAAAAAATAAAATTTGACAACATAAACTGTTGTTCGATTACTAACCTATTGGAATTTCAAGGACAGTTGATGGAACATACCCTTGTTCTCCATTATTATTACGTACTAACCACCAGCGCCTTGAATTGTCTAATATCTGTAAAAAGAAAATTAAATATATTAAAAAAAACTTGTAAAAATATTTATTATGTTAAATTTTTATATTTAAAAAACGAATAATAAACTTGATATAATATATTTATAGTATGTTTATATGATCAACATAATATAATAATTTATAAAACTATTATTTTTTATTTATTGTGACTATTTATTCAAAATAACTTAATTAAATTATTAATGAAGTAACTAAGTTATATAAAAACTATAATAATTTGTAAACTGATAGATAAATAGATTTACAATGACTGATCTAAGAACAAGAATAATATATCAATATAATCAAAAAATGATAATTTAAAATTAATTTACTTAATTATGGGTGAAATTAATGCAAATAAATATACAGTGATTAACCATCACATTAGGACCACAATTTTTTTTACAATTTATATCAAATAAATGGCTTAAATTCTAGTGTGAGGTCATGATTGATAGCTACTACCCTTTGATTCACAATGACTCTAATGGTCACATTCTTGGCTTGGGTGTATACTTATGCATCATTCACCTATTTGTAGAAAAATTAGGTTTGAATCCTATGACCATTCTTTCATTTGCTTCTGTGTAGCACCTCTTCAATCAATCACCATTCCCTTTGTTCTTTATCATTCTCCTTCTAAAAACTTTTAGATATAATCTAAAAGTGTGCAATCTTGAGAAGGTGAATGTTGTTATTGGTGAATTTAATGATCATCACACTGAATGGTTCGGCTCAGACACCACTAATCCTGCTGGCACTAAACTTCATAATTTCTGTATTTCTCAATCTCTAACTCAAGCAATTTTTTTTGTTCAAGTCAAGCCTTATTCCACTCCATGGTTTTCACCTTCTTGTGCTGCTGCTATATCTAACTGCAATCATTTTTTTTTTTTCTTTTTTTACATAAACAATTCTCTTGAGAACAACATTTTTTTTATTATTGCAAGAAATTAATGTAAAAAGTTGCTGTTTAATGCTAAGCTCCAATATTTTCAGTTTACTAAATCTTGTATCTTTCTTAGAAATTAGGCTCTAGACTTTTCTGGAAAATCTTCAACAATGTTATTAACAAAGATAAGTCAAACATTTTATCTCTAATACATGGGTCTGATTTTATTACCTCTCCTAAGGATGAAGCAAAACTATTTGCAAAGAATTTATCTTCAAATTAAACACTTGAATCTAACAGCCATTCTTGCTATTTCAGTTAAATAGGTTAACCCATTGTTAGACATCCAAATCAATCCAGCTTCCGTTACTAAAGTCATTTCTCAATAAAGCTCTTCTGCAAAGTATGGTCAATATTTCTGTTGTAGTCTTACAAAAGCGTTTTACAGAACTCTTTTCAATTCTTGCTAAACTATTTAATATAAGTGCTTGACTTAATCTTGTTTTCCTACAGTTCAAATTTTTAAAAACTCTGGAGGACTCTCTGACCCCTCTAACTATTATCCAACTAGTCTACTCTCTATTATTATCAAGGTTTTTGAACCTTTAATCAACAAACTTTTAATATTTTTAAGGATTTTTAACATCTTAAACCTAACACCTCTCTGACAATCTATATGGTTTTCAATTATCTCATTCTACAACTTGCTAACTGCAAAATTCAATTGTGCATAAGATCAGGGCGACAAGGAAAGGCCGATTGCTTATGATATATCTAAAACTTTTGATAAAGTATGACATAATGGTTTTCTCCATAAACTTGCTTTATATGGTGTATCTGGGAAAATTTAGATTATCAAATCATTCCTTTCTAACTTCTGGGGTAAATCAAGGTTCTATTTTTAGTCCTGTATTGTTTCTTATCTACATTAAGGATCTTCCTGACCATCTTACATATAAAGTCAATTTATTTGTTGATGAACATTATACTCCTGTCTTGACAAAAAGTTTTCTCTTTTCAATCACTTAAAACAAGCAGTCAATCTTGCATGTGATTTCACTTCTGTAACAGCTTGTGAACTTTAACTCCAACGAAACACAATTGTTTACTGCAAACAGCTATCACAATACAGTCAACATTATTATTTTAATGAATGGCAACCCTATTACTTAGGCCTCTACATGTCTTCTTCTCATGTCTTCTTATATTCACAACTGACTTTTCATGGAAACCATATGTGCAATCGATTGCAAAGGTTGCTTCTTTTTATACTGCTTGCAATTATCTTACTACTGATTTCATTCTCTACCTCTACAAATCTCTTTTTTTCTTGTAGTTTGATGCATTGTAAATGTAGTTGGACTTGCTTTATGTGTCAAACTTGAAACTCTATCCAAACGTCGTAAGGTTGCTTCTTTTTCACTTTTCTACAAATAATATCATGATTGCTGCTTAAAGGAGTTATTATCTCTAATTCCATCAACCAAAACTTATTCTTGCTTGAGTCGCTGTTCAACAAAGTTGCATCCTTTTACTGTATCTCTCTTTTACAGAATACATAATATCCTCAGCAAAAATTTGTTTTCTCCCCAAAACATAATGCAAGTGAGAAAAAAAAAAGATACTTGAGAAGAGTTTGGTTTAAAATGATCTAGACCGTATGATCAGAAATATCTGCGTGGAGAACAGAAAAAAGACAAAAGGTATTGACTAAGCTTATCCAGTAATTGTGTTGTTGCGTCAGACTGAAGCATTTGCAGAAGGCTTAAAGAAGAGGGATTGATGTGTCACCTTCTAGTCAAGAAATCAAAACAAACTCCTTTTATGAAAAAAAAAAATAATAGGAGTGGGCTCAAATCCATTGTCATTGGTCTGTTGAGGATTAGAAAGAGGTTTCTGATTTTCAGAAAAAAGTGCAAGAAAGCTTTCAAAATTTAAAAGAGCCATCATGGAATGTAAGTTTATTGTTTATTATTTATTTTTTGAAAATATTCTTATTCATAATTTATTTAAAAATCACTTTACTCCCAATCACTTTAAATAAGCTTTATTCTAGATTTACTTCTTATACAAGTCAACCTTTCAAGTAATGATACATAAAACAACTTTTATCCATGGTAAATTAAATTTCATTTCATAGTTGCAGTGTGGAAACAGTCAAGCATCTACCTTCAGGAATGATCTGGTTATTTGTGGGCAAGGAGCAAAACACCGACACAAGTAGTTAGGACAATAAATCAGGACCAGAATAAAGAAATCCTAAATAACCATTTGATAACAAAAAATCAGTAAAACCTTATACTTATTCAAAATGGTGCAACTTGCAATGCAGCAAAAAGCCTTATGGCTTATTTAAATTATAAAAAAGAATAATGTACTTCAGGGATGGACACTGAACTCTAAGTCCTGGAGCCCCTATTTTTGATTGGAGTTTCGGGAGTCTATAAAGCTTTTGGAACCCCTAGTAATTTTTTTTAAATCAATAAGGTGCTTAAAGAAGATCAAAAGCCTTGTCACAGAAGAACATTTTAAAGGAAGTTTACATCTCCTTGTCTACTTGTTTTCAATCTTAATATTTTTGAAATAATTTTAAAAGATAAATGATGACAAGCAAAATGTTAAACTTCAATGCCTAGGATAATAAAAAAATCTTTAAAAAGTCCCTTTGACATAATAATTTGCTGATTTAAATATGCAAAGTTTGCTAACGAGTAACTAAATTTTCTTTCATAAAAGATGCCACAGGCCACAGATGGTCATCTTGCTAACCCTTTGTAAAATAGCAAAATATTTAAAATAGATTTAAGATAGTTTTTGATTATTATGTAAATAGTCTTTACATTTTTGCATCTTTTAATATTTAGGATTTTTCTTTATTATTTTAGCAAACATTGTCAAGTGTTTGCATGTTGCAGTTTGTTTTAGAATTAAGTTCTACATAAGAAAACTTTAATCTGTGGGTAGAAAAGTTTATTTAAGAAATATCTGCATTATGTCAGTTTCATAAATTTTGATGATAAAAGAATTAAAATGGCATAAATTATTTTTTAAATTTGTGACAGGATAAACAGTTTAACATTTTCTGAACCAATAGCACTTAATATTTAAATGACATGCTAATTAGTTTTCTGTCTACTCTGTTAACAAAATGCCTAATTTTTTTTTTTGTAAAATATTTGTTAACAAATTTCCAAATTATTTTTTTTGAAAAATCACTGTAAAAGCGTAATGCATTACATACTTAAAACTATTTCTTAACTGATAAATTATAATTTGTTTGTCCTTTGTTCAAATCTTTCAAGATCATAATAAGATTTGAAGTGTTTTCGTTGTTAATTTCTTAATAATTTCTCAATAAGATCTTAACAAGATATTCAAAGATTTTTTGCCATAACTTATTAAGATCCTAATAAGTTCTTATTAAAATATGTAAATTGTAAAAAAATCTTACAGATCTTTATATAATTTGTGAGTTTTGTCATTGGGTAGTTATAAGCAAACAATTCCAATTGCACAATAAAACAAGTTTATAAACAACTTCAACAAAACAAGTTAATAAATATAAAAATTGTGAAATTCAAAAACAAGTTAATAAAAATACAGCAACAAACAAACAATAATTTTATTTAAGGAAGGACTTAAATTTAAAAAAACTATGATTTTTGTGGGATGTTATAAAAAAAGTAATTTTTTATAACATGTCTACTAATGTCTACAATAACTTGTATGCTTTATATTTTTATTTGCCATTGACTCACATTTAAAACTCTAGACCAGTGATGATCACTAACCACGCATCAGACAAAATCTACAGACATTTTCAACGTACCAATAAAATCCTAAATGAATTTAAGGTAATATGTCTTTTAATGTATTGTACCTGACAAAAAGTGAGTTGTGAGAAAATCGCTACAAAACTCACATAAAAAACCTAGAACAAAACTTATCTAGAAAACACGCTTATAACTTTAGAAAAAAAAGTAGTATTAAAAAAAAGTTAAAAAGAGGTAGCAAATGTTAGAGCCACCAAAATTAGCAATCCAAATTTAAATGTTTACCAAACCAAATATTTTTAAAACTTAACCCATTAAAAGCAATTAAATGCTTCACTGAAGTTTTACTGGATGCCTGCTGTCACTTTGTCATTGCCTTTATCTCAAGTAAGTGTTGAGCGATTGTTTTCTGTAAAAGCCCCAGACCATATAAGTTGCTTGTTTTGCAGTCATACATTTTTACAAACTTTAGTTCTTTTAAAACCAAAAAAATAATAAAATTTTTAGTTTTCATTTAAACAAAAACCTATTGTGGGTAAATAAAATAATTAAAACAAAAAGAGTGAAGAGGGAAGAAAAAAAATTCTTCTGATATTAAATTAAAAAGGTTTTTCACCTTTAAAAATTGATGCATCTGAAATATTATTTCACAAATTTGCGTGTGGGTGCTGAGCAATAATTCCACTAATGCAGTATTTAATATTGCTTCATTCCATTAGGAAGCATTTAATGTCATGTTATGCGCAAATCCATGCGAGATCAATAAAGTATTTTAAAAAAAAATATTACTATATTATTAAGCTATTAACACGGAATTTGTATGGTTTTCTTTTTTTTTTGAGAGTTCCATTATTCTCATTAATTTTATTATTCAGTTACTACTGGAAAAATTAAAGTCCATGATTTTTTAACTTGGAGTCTGGAGCCTTAGAATCCCCAAAAAAGTAACATTAGTTTTAATTTGAAAGCCACACGCTGTAGCTTCAAGAGAAAATGCAATTCTTCTTACCGCTTACCAAAAATACCTTTTTGGCAAGCCATATATAAATATCAAAATATATATCTTTTCAACTTGTTATGCATACATATAAAAATATAAACCTTTTCAGCCTGTTAGATAGACTAATACTTAATTTTGCATATAAAAATATATTTCAGACAACACAAGGTGTCTAAAAAAGATGTCTATAAAAATTTATACCTTTTTCAGACAACACAAGGTGTCTGAAAAAGATGTCTATAAAAATTTATACCTTTTTCAGACAACACAAGGTGTCTGAAAAAGCTCAAGCTGTCAAAAAAAAATTATTTTTTTGTCATAAACATAAAGTGATTTTTTTGAGTGTTTTATTTTGCCTACTGTAGTAATAGTAGTATTAGTTATTTGTTATTTGAAAATAATATGAAAAAAAAAAAAAAACACAACATTTTATTACTTTTTTTAAAAAAGAATGTTGTTTCCTTTTTTGAGAAACATGTAATAAAACAATTAATAATAAAATTATCTAAAACAATTAATTTCATTAAGTATTTAATACTTTATATAATAAACTTATACTTATATAAATAACTTAATTTTATATAAATTATATTATATATAAATTATATATAAAAATATATAAACTATAATATAATATATATTAATATATACAATATATTACAATATATAAATAACTTAAACTTAAATTGTTTAGCATTATTTATTATTTTAAATAATTAAAAATAAATATTCTCAAAACTCATATGAATTAGAAAAAATGGTTAGAAAAACTTACTGTAACTCGTTCACCAGCACGTATTGTTAGTTCTTTATTGTTATGTGCAAGGTAGTCATATATAACAATGCCAAACAACTTAGGTTTGACAGGTATACTTGCATCATAGCTGTTATTTCGTTGTGGTTGATTTACCTGAAAGTCTTGTGATTTTTTTAGACTAAAATAACAATTTAAGTAAAATTCAACTCAGCCTAACTCAGGCATAAAAATATATAAAACCATGTAATTGAAAAATAACTAAAATTGACTATTTATTAAAGACCATTAAAACATAAAAGAGAAAGATGTTGCATTAAAAACATTTTTAAAAAAATACATTACTTGTGGACAATTTTATTTCTGTATCTTGAACAAAAATTTTTTTTTTAAACCAAAACTTCCTTTGGAAACAAATTTTTTAACAGAAATAATTAAAATAAAATACTAACACTAGACTTGTCGGCCGAGCATGATCACGCTGATCCTCCCCATTAGTAGACTTGACAACAAAAACAAAAAGAATAATGATAAGGGTAGAAAAAAATGCTTCTGATATTAAATTAAAAAAAAAAGTTTTTTAGTTTTAACCAACTTTTAAAATTTAGACTATTTAAAAATGTTTAATTTTATGACTAAAGATTACTTGTTGCTGCAGTTATTTATTATTTATGAATTACTTGGTTACTATGGTTATTGATAAAAGCTTGAATTACTTTTCATTTTTTTGTTATTCATTACACTATTTCTTAGGATTAAACTTTGAAATTATATGAAACTGTGAATATGATATAACAGAGCATGCATAGTAGATAAAACATGATTTAACAAAGATAAGTTTGGGGTAGAATGGAACAGTAATTTAATACTTTAAACTTACAAACTTTTAAACTGATGTAAAAGTGTCAAAATCAATTACTTTAAAGAACCAACAAAACTGATGTTTAAAACTTATTTTGTTAATCGTAAACGCTTTTTTATAACAAAAGGAATTTTATTTTTAAAAATCATACAGTTAGAATATTCTTAATTGAAAAAAAAAATTTAAGTTGTATCAACAATTATATTGTTTTAACAAATTTGTTAAATAAACAAATGCTTTTTTATACAATTTTCTTGTTTAAAATTTCTTAAGAATGATAATGAATACAAATTGTATTCATAAGAGAATGAGTGTCTCTTTGGCAACCTGATAACACCTTCTTTTTTAATTCTTCTCTCTCTTTATATATAATTTAAAGTTCCGAAGCAATTTTAATTAATTTTCAACTAAACTAATGAAAACAATTTAAAACAATCCCCAACAGAAGAATGAAAAATACCATACTCTGGAAATCCATCACTACTGACTGATCGTTGTACCAATGATTTCTTGAATTGTAGTGCAGCTTTCAAAACAGCAGAGTTCATTAAGAGATTATTTTTTGAATCTGCCTGTGTTTGACCATTCAGTGATATTTATAAACATTATTAAAAACTTCATAAAAAAAAATGCTTATTAAAAATAGAAAGATGTGAGAATGATAAAGCTCAAATATTTTTCTTAGTTAAAAAAACAAGTGCTTTTACCAAAATATAACTCAGACATTATAAAAAACAGATTGTGCAAAAAATTAGGCATAAATTAGAATTAAAAAATGTAAATGGTAATGCAAGATGAGTTGTTTAGTTTCATGAATTGGTTACATGAGTACGCAAACACGTAGTTAGTACTATATTGTTAGTTTTAGTATGTGTATAAATATATATATATATATATATATATATATATATATATATATATATATATATATATATATATATATATATATACATGAAGTATTTAGTTTCATGAATTGGTTACATGACTACACAATAGTGTGGTTAGTATTTTATTGTTAGTTTTAGCATTTATATATATATGAAGTATTTATTTTCATGAATTGGTTACATGACTACACAAAAGTGCAGTTAGTTTTATATTGTTTTAGTTTATTAAAATATTAATTAACTTTTTGTTAGTAGTGCATTTAAAATTTATCAAAAAAAAATTTAATTAAAATTCTTTTGAAAAACATATTATAATGCATATATATGTATTATATTTCATAGTATATTTATAAGTAAATTTCAAAAGTTTTTATTATTATTGCAAAAACCAAGTATATATTTTAAATTTATATTTAAATCCTCGGCATATAAAGTTACATATATTATTCAGGAATTTCAGGTAATTTACATGTAAATTTTTTGTCAAACATCAAAACAAAATATATTAATACTTTCTCAGTAGATTTTTTTATTTTTTCAACTTTTGAAATTTACAAAAAATATTTAATTTTTTAAGCAAAATTTTGCTGGTTCATAAAAAATTTAGGTAAAAATAAATTTTTATACCTTCATTCTAGTAATTGCTAATGAGGTGGCATGTGTTGCTGGTTCAAGTTTTTCATTTATAACTAACTCTGGAGGAATCCAACCATCTTCAAATATAGGAGTATAATGTTTTAAAACTTGATTCATAAACAGTGGAGCGGTCCTAAAATTAAAAAATAAATAATTAAAATGTTGTCTTGAAAAATTTCAGACTAGTAAAAAACAATTTCACAACTCGCAGTTTCAATTTTGATGTACAGTGTAATACATTGTGTACTTTGTAGTACATTTTGTACTTTGTAAGTTTACCTCACTAACTATTCTCATACGTAATGTAACATGTAAATTATAGAGTTATGTAAACACTTTTCACTTCAAACTAAAACTACAAAATGTTACAAAATACTATAGTTTTATAAAATTATAAATCATATATATGACTTATGTAACAACTCATATTATTACTAGGAAAGCATTTTTTAATACAGAACTTGATATTTAAGTGTTATAATACTTACTTTGTAAGTGTCCAATTAGGACCTAAACTTTGCCAAAAATGATATTCTCGTGAATCAAGACAAAAGTTTAAAAACTCAACAGATTTCTGTGTCAGCAATGGATCAACAACAGCTCGAGCTTTTTCTAAACTAAAAATGTAGGAAGAATACTAATAAATTAAAACACCCATTGTATCATAATGTTTTTATTATTATTATTTTTTTTTATTTTTGTTTTTTTAACAAGAAAAACATCTGAATTAAGTTAACATTTTAAAAATAAAAGAATACAATATTAGGACAGTCCCAACCTAAATCTGCAAAGTTTTAAAAAGTCAACTTCAATCTAAGCAGTTTTAGAGAAATCAGAAAAAAATAAAACAGAAAAGTTTTTTCCCTATAATAAATGTCATTTATGTAAATTCTACCTGCCCAAACCTTTAGTTCATGTATCTACCTAATACGAAGAACTGTGCTGACCTAAATCAGTGTTGAGGTTTCACCCTAGCAATTTTGGCACAAAACTAAAATCTTATGCTGTCTTTAGTTTTTTAAATGCCAACTTTATTGGTGCTTTTAAAACTTTGTCTGAGCCAAACTTTTGCAATTTAAGCAAACCCTTCCCCAATTGAGGAGGTTGTAAACTTTACATGGTGACCTCTTTAAAACACCAAAACATTATTTGATAAAATTGGAATTTTTCCAATAAATTTTGATTTGATTTAAGCAAAATTATTTTTAAATAAATATTTTAATTATTATTTTACTAAATTAATAAATATTTTAATAACTATTTCAATGTAAATTAATTTATGCTTACATATTTTTGTTACTCTTCTATGCTTGTTTTATTGATAGTAAAATATTTATTTTAGCTAGTATTATTAAGTTATTTAGTTTCTGGTCCATATATAATCATTTTGTTGATATTCCACTTTTAAATGTTTGCTTTAATTTTTAAAAACTTAAAAAAATGATGTGAGCTTCAGCTGATAAACTATAACTAGGAGCAACTATATTATATTATGTCTTTTTTTTATGTTATATTATTGTATTTTTATTATTTGATGTATTTTATTATAATATTTAACATACCCTGTAACTTTTACTATTATTCCAAGCGGTATAAATAAGTAGTGAATCAACTCGGTTGAATTAGGATTTGATATATGAGGTTTCAACTTAGCCTAATCAAAAGTAGATAACAAAACAAATCAGTATGCAATGACATAAATGCAAAAAAAAAACTTATACATACATACATACATAAATATATACTTACATATGCACATACATTTTAAAATTTATTTCCAGTTTATTGTGGGTGCACCACAATAAACTGGAAATAAAAAAAATAAACACAAAAATACAAAGAAGACTACTAGAACTATTTTTATAATAAAATTATAAAATAAAATAATTAAATACCTCAAATAATAAAAAAATAATAAAAAGTTAACATTTTTAATTTAGTTTTAACAAAGTGCATGCATTTTTATTACAACTTTCTCAAATTTCCCAAAAATTTAGAAATTTGACCCCCTCTCCTTGTTGCCAAGCGCTCTTTTAAGTCCCTCCCCCCCCCCCTCCTTCAAAAAAAAGAGTAAGCTTTTGAAATTCTCCCCTCCCCTCCTTTTTTTCATAATTAGAAAAGTTTTGATTTAGAAAAAATTAAAAAATATTCTAATTAAAGTGTGAGTTTTTTAAAGTTGATCATATCCCCCATCCATTGCTTTATTGAAAGCAATACGTGGCTCTCTCCTCCACTAATCTGCCTAAGATACTTTATTGGACCCCAAAGTCTATGGTTTTAGCACTGGATCCCAATTTTAAAGACTTATGTAAATATTTTTATTTATTTTAATAAAATTAATTTACTGACAGAATTGTATGTGTGTATGGCTGAGAGGTTAATGCAAGCGTTTAAATGTTGGAGACTGGAGATCAAATCTCAGACAACTCATAATTTATTTTTAATTTTTAAAATTTGTTTTAATGACGAACCAAATAATATAAACTATACTATAAGGCAGACGTTTTTTTCAGCCACCCCTCTTTAGCAAGCCCATAAAAAACAAGTCTTACGCAAGAAGAGTAATATTGAAAACAAACCCAGAAACTGAGAGCCAGGGCTACCCCACAACCCCCAGAAAATTTAGGAGTTCTTTTGCAAATTTAAGGAGCTTTTTTTTAACAATACTTTGCGGAACTTTTTTTGAGATTTTGGGGCCCTAATGACAGGTTTTTTGATGGGGTATGACCCATTAACCACTGCACTGCTAAAACCTATTTTTTGCAGAACCGAATTCTAAAGAACTGATGTTCAAGGAAAAAAATTAGAGGAATAAGAGTTTTTAGGAACACTTAAGAACAGTCACAGAAAAAGGATGAGATTAATTGAATGATGAGTAACACGAGAATGAATTTTAGTAGATGGCACAAGAGACACTAGCTCTTTAGAGTAGTGCCCATTATAGTATTTGTAGGAAAAAAAAAGAGAAGCAATGTTACGAAAATGTGATAATGGTTGGAGGTTGGCTGAAAGAGCAGGTCTAACAATTTTTACAAAATGTTTCTGCACCTTGTCTAAAAGAGAAAGGGCATCATTGGAAGATCCACCCCAGATATAACAACAATATTCCATACAAGGATGGAGCTAAAGAATAGAATCTGGTGTAAGAAAGTGGCAAGTACAATAAAGAGATGCAAACTTAGCAGATGCTAATTTTGCAATAAATTGGATATATGGTTTCCAAGAAAGATCGGAAATAAAAGTTAATCCTAGAAGATGAAGGGTAAATGACTCATTGAGTAAATTACCGTTCATAAATAAAGGAAGATCTACTTTTTCTTTTTTAAATTTGCTGAAAAACTGGTTTTTATCTAAATTAAAGTTCACTAACCACTGTAAGCCCCATGCTGTAGCAGAAGTGAGATCCTTTTCAAGCTCAAATGCCCCCTTTAAGCAAGGAGATAGTGTTAGCTTCATACCATGACAAGAATAAATAGTAATATATTCTGCGAACAATGCCACCTTAGATGGGAGAATATCTGGAAGATTGTTTATGCAAATTAAAAAGAGTATAGGGCCAAGGATTGAACCTTGAGGAACCCCTGAAGTTACAGGATATGAAGAAGAGTGCTGTCTATCAAGGACAACTTTAATACTACGATCGGAAAGGAAGGATTCAAAAATCTTAAAGATGTTACCAGATACACCGTAAGAAGAAAGCTTATGGAGAAGACCAGCATGCCAAACTTTATCAAACCCTTTAGAAATGTCAAGAGCAATGGTCTTAACCTCTCCTTTTTTATCTAATGCACGATAAAACCTATCGGTTATTACTGTTAGCAAATCAGCTGTAAAACGAGAAGATTGAAATCCATATTGGTGATCAGAAAGTAAGTTATTAGATTCAAGATGAGAGTTTGAGTGTTTGTTAATTAAAGACTCAAAAACCATGCATATGATAGGAAGAAGACTAGTAGGATGGTAGTTAGACGAATCAGATCGCTCTCCAGAACTTTTGAAAACAGTGATAACAGATGTGGCTTTCCAGCAGGCTGGAAAACAAGACTTTGATAAGCACTTGTTAAATAGTTTTGAAAGTATAGACATTCTGTAAGACTATAACAGGTATGTTGTCCGGACCACAAGCTGTAGAAGAGTCTAAGTAGGAAACCATTTTAGATACAGATGATGAAGTAATATGAATGTCAAGCAATGAATCAACCTGTTTGACAGCTATATCAGGTAGAACGCAACTAGTGGAATCAAGAGATGATATTGATGAAAAGTTCTTAGCAAACAATTTGGCTTTATCTTTAGGTGAGGAGACAAAGTCTAAACCATACATGAAAGGTGGAATAAGAGATTTTTACTTATTATTGATACTGTTAAAGATTCTCCACAAGTCATGAGAGCCTAATTTTTGTGATCAAATACAAGATTTCATGACCTAAGAATAGCGGACTTTGGCAATAGACAAAACCATTTTACAATGGTTTCTAGCGACAGTTTTCTGTTTTCTGGAGAATTGTTTTGCTGATAGATATGGAAGTAACGGTTTTGATTGGAAATTACAGCAGCACAATGTGAGGAAAACCATGGAGAAGAGTGAGGCTTGACCTTGAAACTAGTACTTTTAGTCAGAAAAGTAACTTTTTTATTGGTTAGCTGGCAAATTATGGACAACGATGATAGGGTATGGTTTTAATTTTTATTTTTTTAAGTTGTTAGGTATTAAAAAACATTTAGTTATTAACAAGTATTTGTTAATTGTGATAAATTAGAAAAACGAACTTTAAGGAAAATTTTTTAAATTTGTGTGTACGTACTTTTAAATTGACCACCCCCCACCATAAGCTTTTGTACACTATTTGAAGACTTCCCCTCCCTCCTATGAGCGTACTTTAATGTTGACACCTTATAAAATATATCTCAAAATTGAAAAAAAAAATTATTTTTTCAAACCTTATTGCTGTTTTAAAATCAACATTTTTAAAATCAACTTTTTAACTCTTGTTTCATTAATTGTATAAACAAAAAATAATATTTTTTTATAAGTGTGTTACTTTTGTTTTTCTTTATTTTTTATGAAGTATGAAGATCATTATTAAATAATTGACAAGAATGTCTACTCAATACAGTGGCGTGGTGGCTGTAAAAGGCTTATGCAGGATTTTATATAAAAAGCCTATATATGCGGGATTTTACCAAATATGATGGATGACAAAGCCCATACATGCCCGGCACTTTCTGGTAAGAATGATATCTATTTGTCATTTTGACTGAGCCATATTTTATGTGCAATTATTTTATAATTATTTTAGTTGTTTTAAAATTATTAATAAAATTCAGTAGTGAATATAAACTTCATTTTTTGAACTTTTTATTTTTTATACAAAACAGAAAATGAAGCTACGTTAATAAAACACGTCATTTTTTTGAGCTGATTCATTTTTTTAATGACGCTAAAGCATTAAAATTTTTTTGAATCAAACAAACTGGTTTTTATTATTTATATTAAAACGTTGCAATTAATTATTATTTTAAATTTATAATTCAGTATTTGTTTCATTTTTTGTCTGATGGTTTTCATAAATTTTAATTGAATATTTTAGCTTTTAAACCTTTTAAATTTGTTTTATAAAAACTTTAACGTTATAGTTTATTAATGCTTATAGAAACCAGTATTGTTTAATTACACTATTAAATCTGAACTACATTACGTAACGTTTGCTTTTGCGCTAAAGTTTTTTGCTATTAAAAGTGTTTATAAAAGAAATGAAAAAAGTTTGAAAAAAGACATTAAAAAAATGCATTATACATTTTTTAGAATATTATATGTAATTATATTTATGTCCTTAATATATTATATAAAAGTCATACTTATATAAAAGTAATTATGGTATTCTTTGATAACTTAAAAAAAATGGGTTTATTGTAAGCAATCATTAATTTATGTATATAAAATAATTTACAAAGCATTTTACATGATATGGTATTTTTTTAAAAACGTAGTATATTTCTTTTTCCAATTTTATTTTTTGATTTTATATCCTTTTCTTCAAGATCATAAGAATAAATACTTCTTGTGACAAAAGTTCGATCGCATTTCTTTAGGTTTTTATCGGACAAATTGAGCGGAAAATTCAATTGATTTCTGTAAAATACAATTTTGCCGCCAAGTGATTGTAAGCAAATACAATTTTTATTTTATTGTTTGAAGAATAGCCATTAAAACAAAGTTTAAAAATCAGAGATTTTAGTTTTATTATGAAACATAATATAAATTGTATTAAATTATAATTAAACTAAAAACCAAATTAAGTTAAAAAAATAATAATTTTTTCTTCTTGAATAACGAGAAATTGTTTGTATAGATTGTTTACGCTTTTGTTTGAATCTGCATTTTAACTAGCATTTTTGCAAAGCATTAATAAACCACACGGCTCATACCTTAAATATAAAATGTTCTGTTTAGTAGTTAATTAATTAAAAAGTATTTCATATTTTTATGAAAATGCTGTATAGTTGTTTTTTATTTTAAAAATAAATAGAAGTTTTTGAGAATGCCAAAAAAAGTAAAAATTGCTAAAAGGCCTTACTTGGATTAAAAGTCTTGGATTAAAAGGTACTTGGATTAAAAAGTCGTAAAAAGGCCCATACTTAAATAAAAAAACTTAAAGTGAAAAGCCCATGCGGGAATCCCGCATTGCCTCTGGAGCCACCACGCCCCTGACTCAATATACCAGTATTTTCCATTACTTGGCACAAATTTATTAAATATAATAATATTAAACATAAATTTAATAAGTTAGACTTATGTCTGATTTATACCAATTTTACATTTTCCTCAAAAAAAACTATTTAAAAATTTATTTAAATTAATCTAAAAACCTTTTTTTTTAACTTTTTTAATTTCAGCGCTAAATTCATGTGTAAAAACCCTAAAGTTGTCATGTAAACCAAAAAAATAAACATTTAATTTTGAGAATTAAAAAAATATAGATATAACAATAATAATTGTTGTTGTTGCTTACAATGCTGTTGTTATATTATGTTTATATTGTTGTTATTGTTACAATTTATAGTTATTTTTATAATTTATATCATTTTTATAAAGTGTTTACTCAATTTTAATTATTATGCAACTTATTAACTTATATACTTGAAATGTAAAAAGTATTCCAAATATATTGATTGATTCAGAGATTGATTCAGAGATTTCTATTAGATACTTTAAAAAATCATAACTAATCCTTCAGTAAATTTTTCAGTAAACCTAACTTTAAATTACTTTATTTTAAAACTGTATAAGTATGTATATCAAGATTTGCAATCTAACCAATAAGATATAAATTAAATTTAAAATTTAACCAATGAGATAAAAGTATTTAAATCTAATTTCTAACCAACAAATTTAGTGAGTGCTTAAACTTTTGAAAAATATCATATACTCGGTGTTCAGGAGGTGGCTGAGCTTGCAAAATTAAAATATCTAAAAAAAAAAATTTATTAAAGTTTTCTAATAAATTATTTTGATAATGATTATTTAATATATCACCTATTTAATATTAACAAAAACCTAAAAAGTTTTTAAGTAATTTTGTTTAGCCATTTGTGACTTGATATTTTATCAAATCCATACAGAGATTTAATTCATCTAAGATTAAAGCTTACATAATATATATATATATATATATATATATATATATATATATATATATATATATATATATATATATATATATATATATATATATATATATATATATACAATAGTGCTTAAAAGTTTAGCACGCAGCAGAATTAAATTTAGTTTTTTCCATATATGTTAATTTTTCAGTTAGTAAAGCTTTAAAAAAAAGTTTTCTTCTATTTATCAGTTAACAAGACATAACCAGATAAAAAAAGATAGAAAATTAAAAAGGTTTGCTTACACAAATCCATTTTTTTAAGTACATACATTAAGAGGTATATTAAGCTTTAAAAAAAAGCTGCTCATAGCTCGCTAGCTCTTCTTGAAGATTTTAAGGAGATTTTTTATAAACTTATTGCGGTAAAAGTTGCATCATAATAAAATTAAACTCTTCTTTTTAATGAAATAATACAAAAATATATTTAAAGTAATATTTAATTCTTTAAAAGTTTGTTTTAAATTAATTCATCTTTTTGCTTAATTTTAGATTATAATAATAGAAATTTCCCATGGGAAGAAAAACTATAAGCCAAGAAATCAAGCAGCATATTATTGGCCTTAATATAGGAGGTCACTCTGATATTGAAATATCTCGAATTTTAAAGTGTGTTTCACCATTATGTGTAAGTAGAACTATTGCTAAGTTTAATGAAACTGGTAGTACTGATGACAAAAAGTGTTGTGGGTGACCAAGAAATAAACCTGGCACTTAAAAATCAAGTATCAAGACAAAAGGTTAATAGAAGACTAATAGACAGAAAGCTGTGGTGCTATGTTACTGCCAGAAAACCATTATTAAAACCAACAGACCGTTTAAAATGAGTTAAATTTTGCAAAGCAATTTTAAAAATGAGTAAATTTGAATTATAAAAAATTGTTTTTAGTGATGAATCTAACTACACTATCCTAGATCGTAAAAACAAAATACTTGTCCGTATGCACCACAATGAAAAGTATAATAGTCGCTGTATCGTACCTGTACTACAAGGTGAAGGTAGTGCAGTTGGTATTTGGGGCTGCATTACATATGATGGCCCAGATCTACACATGTTATACAGTGGTCAAATGGACCAACGTAGATACATCAACATCCTTGAAAACCATTTAATGCCTACCAAGAAAATTTTTTTTGGTAACGAGCCAGAGTGGATGTTTCAACAAGACAATGCTCCATGCCATAAAGCAAAATCTGTAACAGAATGGTTTGAGCAAAACAATATCAAGGTACTTCATTGGCCAGCTAGATCATCTGATCTGAATCCAATTGAAAATGTTTGGACTGTGTTGGACCGAAAACTTACCAAAGAACCAATAACGTCAGCTGAAAATCAGAAACCAATAATGTCAGCTGAAAGACTTGACAATTGAATATTGTCATAAACTTTTCGATTCTATAAGAATAAGATGTTCATTATGCATAAAAAATAGAGGTGGTCACATTCCTTATTATGGTTCGACCTAAAAATAACTTCAAATCCAAGCGTGCTAAACTTATGAGCAGCTTTTTTTTCTTATTTTGTATATGCTTAGTTTCCTCAAAAAAAAAATTTCATCTTTTTTACATTATTTTTCTCTTAATATGTTCTAAATAACCTAAAATTGTGCTTGAAATAACTAAATTTTTTTATCTTTTTTTTCTGTTTTTTACATTCTAAAGAAAAATAATTTCATTGATTCTGCTGCGAGCAGAATCAATGAAATTATTTTTCTTTAGAATTAATTAAAACCTTTTTATTTGTTATTTTAAAAAGAATATTGAAAGGAAAAAAAACTGTCTGAAAAAGTTTATACTTCGCTTTTTCATTTTCCTCGCGTAAACTAAAATAGCAAGCTAAAGATCAAAAGTTCATTCATTGAAAAATTAAACTTGCGTGATAGTTACAAGGACTGATACTTTTTACTTTTGTTCATTTAATATTCATATTTAAAATTTCATATTCATTACTCTTAATTGCCAAAAACAAAAATTAACTTTACGCTGAATTTAAAATTTAAAAATGCTTTAACTTTCAAAAAAGCAAATCTTTTATACATTCCATTGTTATAAAATTTTGCAACGTGGTTTTAAAATTAAGTTTCGTAACGACTTTCATTTTTTTAAAAGTTACGTTTAGTTAATAACGGAAGGCAAATTACGCCATGTAGTTATGTAAAAAAAGCAATTTCTTTTTAATTCTTTTTATTTTCCTGAAGAAAAAATGAGGTAGCTAAATTAAACTGAGAATTATTTATATACTACTTTATTTAAAACTAAATTTTTTCTATTTTTCATAAAAAATCAAAAGAAAAATTAAAAATAAAAATAATTTTTGGGCGTCCATACCGGTAAAACGGTACTAAAACACAACTGGGTTTTTCACTGATATATATATTCACATTTATATATATATAATATACCCCTAAACCTGTTCTATGTAATAAATTAATACTAAATTAAAAAAATTTTTAAATAAAAAACTTTTTTAGGGGTTGCTTAAGACCCTTAAACATCAGACGGGTCACTAATATTTTGAAAAAAAAGTTCTTTAAAAGCATATCATGTTGGGTCTCAAAAGAAGTGAAATTTTATAAAAATTTCGAAAATAATAAAAAAAAGTTATGGAAACACAAATTTAAAAAGTTTATTTAAAAAAACTATGAAAATATGCACTTTTTTATTTTTTGTTAAATAACGATAGTTTTTAAGCCATAAAATTTAAACTAGTAATCTTTATATAAAATGATTATTATTTTTGAAATTTTTATAAAATTGCACTTCTTTTGAGACCCAACATAATATGCTTTTAAACAACTTTTTTTAAAAATATTAGGAACCTGTCTGATATATATATATATATATATATATATATATATATATATATATATATATATATATATATATATATATATATATATATATAAATATATATATATAAATATATATATATATATATATATATATATATATATATATCTATGTGTATATATATATATATATATATATATATATATATATATATATATATATATATATATATATATATATATATATATATATATATATATATATATATATATATATATATATATATATATATATATATATATATATATATATATATATAATGTCATATAAGTCAAAATACTAAAAAAAATCTTACTTTCTTTTTTCTTTTTGCTGCTCTTCTTTTTTGTTTGGAGTTGCTTACGAGCTTCGTTGATTCTTTTTAGCATTACAACAAAGCGCTCAACCTCTTCTATACAATGGTTTAAAATTTCCTTAAAAAAATTTTTTTTAATTCAATATTTTTTCAGTTATGAAGCATATGCAGAAAAAATCGATTGCACATACCACATCTCTGGAAATTTTGGCATCTTGTAGAGGTGTCAGCTTAATTCCATTCCCATTAATGTCATTGGATGTCTGTGCAAATGGTTCATTAACATGATTATATTGAAAAGCTTGTACAGCCTGAGCGACAGCATGTTTCTGTTGCAAATCATATGTCTAAATAAAAAAATTAAAATGTTTTTATTAACATCATCAACAAAATTGGAAATATCTATGTAATATAACAATGCAAAATTTTATTTGCATGATAATATACCTTTTTTTTTAAAGTTGTTTATATTATAAACCAGGCGCAGACGCAGCATTTTTTTATGTTTGAGCTAACTTCCAGACATGGAAAACTTCAAACATTTATATGATTATACTTATGTCAAAAATGACATGGAATTACAAGGAACATGGTGGGATGGAGCTTAAAACTTCTTGCTGGCAAAACAAACCTTTTGTCACACAAAACTTTGGCTTGGATACTCTTGGAATTAGGGTTGGCATTTGGCAATGCCGACCTAGATACCGACTTTACAGTGTCTAAAGTTGGCAATTTTTTGTCAACCTTGAAATTTTAAAATTTTATTTGCTATTTTAAATTAACTATAACAAAATGAAAGCCTTATTTAAATTCTAAATAAAACATTTAAAATAAAAACGAAAAAGTGAACAATTTGTATAAATTCTGAATTGAATAAAATATAATATAAATGAATAAGATTAATATAAATAAAATTAATATTCATGTTAATATATGTATTAATATACATAATATAATATATATATAAAATATTAATATATATAAGATAATATATATATATATATATATATATATATATATATATATATATATATATATATATATATATATATATATATATATATATATATATATATACAGTGGTGGCCAAAAGTCATAATATATATATATATATATATATATATATATATATATATATATATATATATATATATATATATATATATATATATATATATATATATATATATATATATATATATATATATATATATATATATATATATATATATACAGTGGTGGCCATAAGTCCTGGAACATCATACTTTATGTTATGAAATCAATATATTTGTGTGAAAAACAATTTATTAGTAAATTTTTTTATTTTTTTCAATAAAATAAGTGTTTATAACAATTTTAAAGATGATAGGTACATGCACATACATGATAAAAGTTCAATATTTAATGGAAGCATAGTTATTGTCAATTACCATTTGGATACGTTTTGGCATGCTGTTAACAAGTTTTGTACAATAGTCTGGTGTAATTTCATGGATCCACACTGATTTGATTGCTTCAACTAAATCATTATAAGATCTAGGCTTTTTGGCAGCAACTTTTACTTTCATAATATGCTAACAATTTTCAATAACATTAAGATCTGGTGATGACCCAGGCCAATTTTCAAGGGTTTGAATTCCTTCATCAGCAAACCACTTCTTTACAATTTTGGCTGTGTGGCATGGTGCACCATCCTGTTGGAAATAAGTGCAGTTCAAGATCTGCATGAAAGGTGGCAACTTCTCCTTCATAACATCCAAATAGACTTTGCTGTTTATTGTGGTATTCTTGGGCATTACCCATAATGGCTCATGTCCTTTGGCAGAAATAGCACCCCAAACCATACAAGACACAGGAGCCTTGACACTGCTAACTGTATATATTGGCATATATCTACAGTTTTTTGGTCTTCTTACAAAGTTGTTTGTAACATTAAATTGTTTAATACATGTTTCATCAGAAAAAAGAACTTTAGATTTTCTCCAGTCCAATTTTTGTAGCGCTGACAAAATGTTTTTCGATCTTTCAGGTTTTTTAATGATAAATTTTTTTTTAATGATAAAGGTTTTTTTGCTGACTTGCATGCCTTCATTTTGAAATCAACCAAAAACCTTCTTCTAACTGTTTGGTCTTTTGAAATCTCATGTGCAGATAGCAGTGGATTTGCATGTCTGATCGGGTCAATAAGTTTGTCAGTTCTTGAGGTGGTTGCTCTGGGCCTGCCTGATCTCATCTTTGAAGTAAAATTTAATTGGGGCTCTTCTTTATGCCTTTTTAAAGTTCTACTTACAGTTGATAATGAACAACCAAGCTTTTCAGATATTTCTCTTTGAACTAAACCTTGTTCATATAATGCAGCAATAATTCCTCTTTTTTTAGGTGAAAGTTCTGGCATAATCTAGCTGATAAATTGCTTATGAATAATAAAAAACGATAATAAATTGCGCAATATACAAATATGTAACTATAAACATATTGCTATGTAAAAATAAAAGCATCAAACTTTAAAAATTTATACTTTAGATCAAAAACAAATTTTTTTGGTCATTAAATGTTTTGTTCCAAGACTTTAGGCCACCACTGTGTATATATATATATATATATATATATATATATATATATATATATATATATATATATATATATATATATATATATATATATATATATATATATATATTATATATATATATATATATATATATATATATATATATAATATATATATAAAAAAATAGTGTAAATGAATAAAATTATTTAAAATAACCGCATAAAATATGTATTACTTAAATTCAAAATAAAATAGTTAAAATAAATATACCAAAGGTACCGTTTTATTTAAATTCTAAATAAAGTGATTAGAATAAAAATAAAAAATCGAACATTTTAATTACATTTTAAATTAAATAATACATAAAACAACAGAAAAATCAATGTTTTATTCAATTTCTTAATAAAATAGTTAAAATGAAAATGTCACAGAAACTTTATACTTAAAATTTTTCTTTAAATTAGAACAAGATTAATTACAGTGACCTTAATAAACTGTCATAATAAACTACAACTGTAATCATTCAACAAAAAACATATATTAAAAACTAGATGGACACCTTTGTTTCATGAAGTACATCTTTTCCATTTTGTATTGGTCTATTTAACATTTGAGCCTAAATAAAGTGTATATGTGAGTGTATATATATATATATATATATATATATATATATATATATATATATATATATATATATATATATATATATATATATATATATATATATATATATATATATATATGTATAAATATATATATATACATACATACATACATATATATATATATATATATATATATATATATATATATATATATATATATATCGCCTATAATTAATAGCCTATGAATATTAATAGTGCGCATAGTTACGCGTATTGTTTTATAGTTACGGTACGGTTCTGTATCTGTAAAATACACTTTTTAAGTAGTTTCTAGACTTTTCTTTACCGCGTGCTTACTTACAGATTTCCCTTCAACCTTTCATGGTACGAGTTCAAAATATCTAAGTTGACATTAAGTAGATAATGTTTAGTAGCTTAAAATTATAGGTAATCTAAATTTTTTTTTAAATTTAAAAGTAATTAATTTATTGTAATCATTTTTAAATTTTAAATTTAAAGCTTAGTGTTATAGATTACTTTAATTCTTAATTTGTGTCTAGCGTTAAAATATATTTATGGGTAGTTTCATGCTTTCACTTAGTTTTGGTTATTGGGATAAAAGCCATGACAACATTTTGTTATAAATTTATCTTAATTTAATTTTTATTGAAAATTTTGTTATAAATAAAATTTGTCTTTAATATTGTTAATACTTTAGCTCTTTGAAAAAAAATATGTTTCTGGCTCTTCAATAAATATAAAATTATTTGTCTTGCATGAATGAATTTTGGTTTAGGATTTAATTGTGTTAGTTTATGTTTGTCTATCTGTAATTTATTTAGGTTATTAGAAAATTCATGTTTACAGAGTTGTTATAAATCATAATCGAGTTGTTAAACCAAGGAAATTGTGGAGGTTTATTTATCATATATACTATATATATTATATAATTATATTGGAGGGAGTAAGTTTAGAAGTCTTTAAGGTAGAATTAAAGTTTCAGTTTTTTAAAACTTTAAATTAACTTTACAATGTTAAAATGGTTTAAACGGATTTTTGTAAATGAATTTAATCCTCAAAGATTAAATTTTTTTTATTATTGAAGAAATTAAACTAGATTTAAGAATAAGTCGACTTAAATGTTTGTTTGTTTTTCTATTTAGATGATGACAATATTGAAGCAAGTAAGTTAAAAAGCATTTTTAAATTTTTAAAAAGAAATAAAAATACTTTTCAATATATCTCTGTTTTCTTTGAGGTAGATTTAAAGTTTCAGTTTTTTAAAATCATATATATTTTAAAATCCTATATATAACTCATATATCTTTGTTTTTCTATTTAGACGTTGGTAATAATATGAAACAAGTAAGTTATAAAGCAATTTAAAATTTTTAAAAAGAAATAAAAATACTTTTTATTATATATCTGTTTTCTTCGAGGTAGATTTAAAATTTCAGGTTTTTTAAATCATATATATTATAAGATTTACAAATAAGTCGACTTAAATGTTTGTTTGTTTTTCTATTTAGACGTTGGTGATAATATCGAAACAAGTAAGTTATAAAGCATTTTTAAATTTTTAAAAAGAAATAAAAATACTTTTCAATATATATCTGTTTTCTTCGAGGTAGATTTAAAATTTCAGGTTTTTAAAATCATATATATTATAATATTAAATTCTTTTTTACTTTAAAAATATCTATATTATAGTTACACTGAGTCGTAGAAAAAAAATTAAAGTTTATTAATAAGGTAGTAGATTATTAGAGTAGATTAAATTGTTTGATCTATTAATCAACTTAATAACGTACTATTAATATGAAGATTTATTTTGGTTGTTTGTTTGTTAAAATTTAGTTAGAGTTTATTTAAAATTTAAATTCTTTAGTTAATCAAGAGAGATCTAATAAAGGTATTAATTACATTAGTTGAATGTGGTATTTTATCGATATAAGGGATAAAATAATAAGGAATAGAAAAATTTTAAAAATTTGCTCTGGAATTTGTCAAAAGAGTGTTGTGTTATGCTTCATTTTAAGGTATCTAAATATATATTCATTAGAAATTTTTAATTTTGTTTTTAAATGGTTTATTCTTTTTCACTACTTTAGATAAATATATACTGACTGACATAACTTCATTTTTATTAACAATGTCGTGCATTGTAGTCTGCATTCTTTGTTACATTAAAAATAATTGATGCTAATAAATGTTCTTTTATAGTTGTTAAAAGTTTGCATATATGTTTGCATTTATATTATAATCAAAGTTAAAGTTTTTTTGATAAATACGTGTGTGTGGTGATACTACTCAGGTATCACCGCAGCTTATCTCTATCAGGTACATTGATTTTTAATTCACATATGATGTTTTTCTTTGTATTTACTTATTCATTACATTTTTAACTTCAGATTTATGGTGCATTTATTTGCTATAGAAGAACAAATCATTTTGAATTTTTTAAAAATATCTACACCAATCAACATTTAAAATTCAATGTAGCATATACCAGCTTCTAGGCTTTTTTGATGCTTTTCTTATTCAAGTGGTTTCATAAGCAAGGTCTACAAACAAATTTGAGATAAAAAGTTTTTCAGCTTTCAAGGAGTATCAATGTTGTTCTCTGTATACTTTAATTTGTTTAAATAGAGTAGTTTTAGTAAATAAATGTTTGTTTGTTCTTGGTTTTTTACTTATTTGTTATCAGATTCTTAAGAATTAGGCAACTTAGCAAGCAAGATTTATTTTATTTTTTAGTGCAATTGGAAAGAGCTAAAGTGCTTTTTAGTTACTTCAAATCATTTGTTTTTATTTTTTAAATAGAAGGGTTAATAATAAAAATATTTAGACAGTCGAACTGTTACTGATTTGAGTAAGTTTAATTTTTTGTTTAATTTTATATTAGATATATAGTTTATGTATTTAACATGAAAAACTGACTGTAATTTTTGACAGGTAAGTTTATATACTTAAATGTGCCTATATATCGGAATATTTTATATTTCTCTGAATCTATATGAATATTATCTCAAAGAAAAAATTAAGAATAGAAAAAATTTGAATATATATACATACATATATATTACTTTAGACTGACATTGCTTCATTTTTTATACAAGATTCTGCATTTATTATTTTTGTGCATTAAGATTGTGCCTGAAGGCTTTCTTAATTTAGCAAAGAATTTAGAACACAATGCACAAACTTTGCACTGTGTTCTAAATTCTTTGCTAAATTAAAATAATGTAAATAAATTTTGTTTTATATTTTTCAGTTGTAAAAATATAAAACGTTCATTTATTCAGTTGTAACAGTAGCATAACCACTGGTAATATATATTTAATGATAACAGATTTATAATATTAGGCTCGAAGAAGTTATTAGTGTAAATGGTTATAGGTGACTTGAAATTGTTGTCATATGAAAGAAATAGATCTAGGCATGATAAAATTAATTGTCGTTGAAATATAAGAAATTTTGCTTGATGAACCAAAAACTTTCTTGGCAGAATTCAGTGTCAAGCGCTGTTGATGTCTATTATTTGACTTTACATTAGACACTTTAAAATAAAGCAAAGTATGAATTTTACTATTTATAGTAACAAATAATAAAAATTTCAGTTTTAAATGATTTTTTTTTTTTTTTTTTTTTTTTTTACTTTTGTAATCTTAATATAATTGTTCATTTTTTTTTTAGTTGTCTTTGTCATCACTTGATTATTTTGCTTACTGTTAAAACATGGTTTTAATTTTGTAAATTTAATATGATGTGAAATTTACAATATTAATCATTTGTCAACAGTTAGAGAGAAGCTGGAAATAAATTAAGAAATGCTGGAAATTAACTTTTAGTTAAGGTAAAAATAATTTTGTTTATTGGTAGCATAATAAAACCAGTTACTGTTATTTATTGCATGACTTTTTTACTTTTTCTAATATGGTGTTTTTAAAACACTTCCTCTCTCTCTTAGATGAGACTTAAATAAGAATTAGTATTGAGAATTGTAGAGAGAGAATTGATTGGGGGGCCGTATGGGTTGAATGGGCGGTCGTAACTAAAAACCTTTAAAAATACGGAGAATATTGTAGTTTTGCGCATTAATATCGAGTTACTTAAGTTTTATTTATGTGTTTAACTAATTAGTTAGCTTAGTCTGTATTAGCAACACTTTTGAGGAAAGAAAGAAAACATTTTTATATAAGTAGATCATTGTTTTACATTTTAATATTTTATTTTATTCACCAGGCCACCATTAAAGCAAAAAGAGGGAAGGAACCTCTTTATTAGAGCCAAAATATTTAGAAAAATTAAATTTCGAGTTACAAAAGGAATTTTTAGTAAATGGTGGCAAATTACCGTTTACTAAAAATTTAATAAAATAAAGAGGCCAAATAAATGATATACAAATGGTCTGTGTTGAACAGACTTAACAAGACCCGGGTCGGGTCAGCTTGGTTTACAAATTTTTGTCTACTTATCTCTTATAATTTTTATTTTAGTTTGTTCTATGATGCATTAATGTATTAAAAAATTAGTTATACCTATGTTTGATCGTAAATTAAATTTTCTTTTGTTTGAAAGGTATTTGTACTCAGTTGCGTAGTATAATAAACTTTGTTATTTTTTATAAATTTATTTAAACGTGTGCATTTAACATTTTTAAGTTACCAATTTTCTTTTCTAAAAAACAATTAATCAAGGGGATAACAAAAAATTGATAACTCCTGTATAATATAAGTTAACTTCATTTTAATCTTAATGGTTCGTGTTATAAAAATTATTTTAAGGATTTAGTTGACACTTTCGTCAATTTAAAGTATAACCAAGTGTTATTATTTTGCGTCAGTAACTAAAAACGTATTGTGTTAAACTTAGGAAGGTCGATGAAAATGGTTCTGCTCTACACTGTTATGACCTGTGCCATTTGTAAATTACTTAATAATGTTAAGTAGTAGTTGGTAAATTATTTTACCTCCTCATAATTTTTATGTTAATTTTACAGATGGATTAATTTTTTCAAGCTGAAGGCAATTTTCTGAAAGGGTATTAGTTAAGGTTTTGCAAGATTAAATTGTGGAAAACAGCTACTATAAATTAATTATGTAACAGACCGACCAAAACCCGTATTACGGGTTGCCTTTTGCTAGTATATATATAATGGGTCTCAAAAAACTATTTTATTTGAAAATACTTTTACCCTTTAATAATGTTTTATATAATAAAACAATACTGAGTTTATAAATTTTTGAATAAAAAAAATGTTAGGGGTCCCCTAAGACCCTTAAACATCAAACAAGTCCCTAAAAGTATGATTACTGGGGAAAAAGTTTTGCTTTTTTTGAGACCCAATGTCACATTGGGTCTCAAAAAAAGCAAAATTATATAAAAATTTCAAAATTAGTAATATTTTAAAAAACCTTGTATGTAATAATTATTTTTTTATTATTTATGTTAAAAAACAATAACAGTTTTAATATATTGTCAGGGATAGTGCAAATCCCCATAACTAGCATTGGCTGCTATATTTGGATATTAATAATTTTAACACCAAATATCTATTGTTGGCAAATACAAAAAACATAATACTATTTATACTAAAACTAGAAGTAAGCAACCCGTAATACGCGTTGTTAGTGAATAAAATTAAAAAAAAAAAACGCGTATAGAAAAGCCAAGAAACTACTTTAAAATAGAAAAGCCTAGAAAATGACGTAATTCGACTCATAATAATAATATTAAATTAGCGTATTAATATTATCAGATGAACCCAAAATCTGTTTAAATAAAAAAAATATAAAGTTTTAAACTTCTACAATAAAAAAAATGTACTGTAGATATGCGGTATTATCCAATGCTAGTTACATGGTTTTGCATTATCCCTGAAAACATATAATAGTATTTTTTTATAATATTAGGGGCCTATGATGTTTAAGGGTTTGAGGGATCATGAACTCTTATGATTGGGTCTAACAAAAATTGGTATATCACATACAGTTTATGAAATCTTGTATTTTATACATATATATATATATATATATATATATATATATATATATATATATATATATATATACAAATAGTATTGCGTACTAAGATAAGCAATCTGACGTCATACTGAAATAGCCTGCTGCTGGGGGCTTCAGTACATACATCGACTGACAAATAGCCTGACTCGCAGTGGAGTGCTGTTACACCGACTGAGGGTTTGGGATGGGGAAGCAATTGTTTTTGTCATCATTCTTCGTTTTTTCTTCTTCTTTTTCGAAAAAAACGGTATAGTTTAAGGTAAGCAGAAAAAGTGAGCAAATGCTTATCAAAACACGCTTTAGTAAGTATATATATATATATATATATATATATATATATATATATATATATATATATATATATATATATATATATATATATATATATATATATATATAAGAGAGAGAGAGAGAGAGAGAGAGAGAGAGAGAGAGAGAGAGAGTTATAGATATATAGATATAGATATTTTTTATACCAATTTCTTGGGTTTTGCAATTCTTTTTGCATTTGAATATATTTTTTATTCTCACTCTATTTGAGGTGTTATTTTTTAGTAAACCAATAAATTTACACTTTGCCTTATTTGATCTGCTTTTGAAACTTGATTTATTTTATTTATACTCTAGCAACATTTTTTACAATGAAAATAAAAATAATCTTTAATTATAATTGTTTAACTTGAATATTAATGAATGACAATAAATGAAATTATAAACTTAGTATACATGTGAGAAAAAAAAAATCAAACTTAAAAAAACACACAATTTTAAAATTTGTATCAAAAAAAATGTGTTAAAATATTTGATATCTTATCAAGTATGTCGATATCTTATCAAGTATGTTGTATCAAGTATGTATCAAAAGATTGTTGTATCAAGTATGTTGATATCTTATCAAGTATGTATAAAAATATGTAAACATCTTATCAGGTATGTATCAAAAGATTGTTATATCAAGTGTGTATTAAAATATGTTGATATCTTATTAAGTATGAATTGTTTCAAGAAATTATATTGTTTAAATTTGTGTATTAGTAAACTAATTGCTTGTCAAACAAATTTTAAATAATAGACCAATGATGAATAAATTTGACTACTAAGCATTTAAACACAAAAAATAACTTGAAAAAACTATAATAAGTGCAGAGAACACTATAACAAAAAAAGTGACCCAAAACATGATTAGCTCATAAGTGAAATATCTACCTGATGTCATCAAGGCTAAATGAGGCCTTTACACAGCAGCCTCGTTTGTCAAGTTTCTTTGTTTTAGACTTAAAAAGTTGAGATGAGGGTGTTACAACAATTAGAAAATTAAAAATGAGCTTCATAGCTGTAGTGGTCCTTTAGGCATTAGAAAGTGAATTAAGAAAATTAGAGATTAGTTTTCAACTGTAACATTTTTTTTACAAAATCTTTTTTAATAAATTTCTTAAATTTCAATGTACAAAATAAATTTATGATTAAATCAGAAAGATTGTACAACTATTTTGTTAAATGAAGAATAAATTATTTTATTAAGCTCCTCAATACTGTTTCTCTAGGGTTAACGAATGCTTTGACATTCCCAATAAACCCAGAGTTTATGACCATGTAGTTATACAAACTGGATGTTGCTTTGCCCAGTGTTAATGACCCATGGATATTGGTATATTCAGGGTTAATGAGCTCCTGGGTGTTTTTTTTTCATGAGTAATAAATACATTAACATGTTTTAATAAATTTAAAAAGCCCACATTACTATTCAGAACAAATCAATCTATCTACATTGTAACTGCCAACATTAAGTCCATGGATATGATAAGACCGATTATAAAGGTTCTTTTTAAAATTGATTAAAGAGTTTATAGTCTATTTAAATATTTTAAGTTTCTATAATTAATTTGAACTTAAATATTTTTAAAGAACTGTGTGTAGTTGGAAAAATCTCAAGTAACTAAATATACATATTATTAGATCTATTGTTTAATTACTAAGACGAACTATGTTTGAAGAAATACATGTCGCTGAAAAACTAGTAAAAAAGCTTATACTAACAGTAAATATTAGAAAATGGATGGGTCCTGACTATGTTAATCTATAGGTATTAGTATGCATAGCACTCTGTAAACTATATGAGTTTACATATTAAACTATATGAGGTTACATTAGTTTTTTTTTTTATTTATTTAATTTGTCTTTCTAGGATTTGCAAGTTGACCACTGCAGTGGACAACAGCAGTGGTCAACTTGCAAATCCTTTTATTCAAGGCTGTTGTGCAGAAAAGCAAATTGAATTCATCATGGCAGAATTTTGCGAGTGGAGTAAATAAAGAATCAGCATTAGATTCATTATTATTTTTGATTTTCCTAAACAATTTACTGAAGGAAGCAATTAACACTTGTAAAAATTGTAAGCAGCATCTGTTAATTCTATAATCAACCCCTAAAGTTATCCAAAATGATACTATTAAGCTTGTAGAACAAAAAAAAGGATATTTATTAGATTTATTGTTAATAAATGTAAAATCATGCACTTTGATAAACACAATGAAAACTTTGATCAAATGATCAAAAAGAAATCCTAAAATGATGTTGCTTTAACACCAGACAATTTAAAATAAACTACGTAATAGCTTCATAGAGATTTAAAAAATCAAAGCGGCCACTTCACAAGAAAACATTAAATTTTATATTTGAAGGCTTCCATATAATAATGGAAGCCTTTAAATATGAAACTTGAGATTCTTACATAAAGATGAATTTACTGCTAAAGTATCAAATCTGTATTTTGAAAAAAGATATTGATTTACTTAATGTCTTTTCATGTTCAGAGAATTGCAACTAAGTAGATATCTAAAATTAGGTACGTATTATAATTTAAAAAAAAGGTTAATTAAACTGAACCTAACAATGCTGACCAAAAAAACAAGATTAGTTCATTTTTAGTTCAAGATTTAGTTCATTTTTTTTCTTTCAAAAACTTAAAAACATATCATGGTGCAATCCATCAAGGTTTGTTACATCATTATTGTGATGCTGCACCAGGTGCTAATACAAGAAATAATCAACATAGCTTATGCAATCAACAGGTGAAAAGATTCATAAACATTTTTTTCACAAAACAAAAAGTAAAACCACAGAATAATTTACCAGAGTCAATGAACTATTAGCAAATCAAAGCATCAATCATAGAAATTATCTCTTAACTAAAATTTTAGCCAACAAAACGATTATTTATTTAAAGTTAAATTATAATTGGTAAAAGCTGACATAAACATAACATGTCATTAAACTTCAACAGTAATATATGTTTTCTTTATAATTATTGTTGTTGTTATTATTATTGCTGTTATTATTATTATTATTTTCATCATTATTAGTATTATTATAATTTTCACAAATATTAGTTGAAAGATTTATGCTAAAAATAAAAAAATATTTGTAGCACATTTTATTTAGAAGACTTTATTAAAAAAAAAAAATTTAAACCTAAGGTTTTTAAAATAATTAAAAATCATAAGAAATCTTTCTTACTTTAATCTCTCTTGATCTATTAATTGCATCAGTTATCATGTTTACCTTTAAAAAATCATATTTTAAGAGTTAAAAACAAAATAATCCATTAATGTATATTTAAATAAATAATAATAACAATAACAAAAATAATAATATAAACAATAGTAATAATAATAATACCAACAATAATAAGAATAGTAATAATAAATAATACAAATAATAAAAAGATAAAAATAGTAAATAATATAAATTAATAAATTAAACAAATAATTGAGTGAAGAAGAATAATAATGAAATAAATAATACACATTTTAATCAAATCAAATATTTTATAAACAGAAAAGTTGAGTGGACTCATATATATGATAAAACAATAAGAGCTCAAAGTTTAAAATATATAATTGCTGTTAGACTTTTTTTAAAATTAGGCATATCTTTAATGTTCTTTAATTTAAAAATATTATATAAATATATATATAAATATATAAATATTATATAAATATATATAAGAACTGAATAATCTTATTAAATTTAGCCTTTGTTTATAATAAAACAGGCGCCATAAAACACATATGTATGTATTTAAAATATGGTTGCAGCTAAAAAACATAAACATGATACTGAAAGCAAACACAGAGGTAGTGTATTTAATCTATCTTGGACAACTGAATAATTTCTATTCAAGCAAAGTAATGCTACTATGTCTCGTTTGTCTGCAGAAAATTGCAGTGAATAAAAGTTTAGGTACTATACTGAAAGACATGCTACAGTTGGTGATAAATTTAAAAGCCAATTTCGCATTGATAGCTAAAATTGCTAATAAAAGTGATCTTGAGCAACAATCAGTGATAAAAATTAAAAAAAAAAAAAAGTTCTCTGGAAATAAAATTATAATAGATAAATATTTTTTTACAGAAATAACAAAGAAAAAAAAAATGCAATTATAAAAACAAATTCTAAATATACAATAATTAATTTTATTCATTAGGCAACAGTACTAAATAAGCTAGCATTAAATAAGTTTGACTAATTAAATTAGTTATAAACTAATAATTTTCTAACTAAAAATTTTATTTCAACAAAAAAACTGCTAATGTTAATAAATGTCTTTGTTTTTCTAATTATAAATTTGGTAACAGAAAGATTTATTTATCAAAAAGAGAAGAGAAAAAAAGTAAATAATAAATAAAAGCAAAAATGCAACAACAAGCTAGCAGTTTCACTTTAAATAATCTATAAATCACTAAAAATTATGCAGATGAAATAAAAAAGATGAATATTGAACTCATAAAACATTAAAATGATTTTAATGAACAATAAGTCTTTTTAAATAATTTATGAAAATTAAAAATAAAATAAAATAAAATCATTTGAATAACTTTATGAACCAGAAAAAATTTCTTTAAAATAAAAAACAAAAACTTAAAGTACAAAAACTTAAAAAACAAAAACTTAAAGTACTTAAAAACTTAAATGACAGTTAATAATAAAAAAAATAATTTAGCAAAACAACCTCAAGAGTTTTAGACTGAAAAATATGCACTGCTCCACTTTTCTCACGAGTAGGTCTTGTTGAAAATACTAAAAGATTTTCAAAATTTGGATCATCTAAGATTGAGATGCACAAGCTGACCTGTTCAGCAGGATACTCTTCAATAAGCTCCTTTTAAAGCATGAATAAAATTAATCTAACTATAACTTTAATTAAAAATAAAATAATTTCATAAATATTTATCCATTTATATTATTTATAAGGTATGTAAAATTTTGTTACCATTGTTTGAGCATTAGTCATAATTATTTTTTCATTTGATATAGTCATGTTCATCTTTTGAGCCCAAAGTCCTCCATTTGAGTTTATTTTCTAAAACCACGACAACAAATAATTTAAGTAATAAATAAAAAATAGGAAATATATCAAACTAATCTCTCAAAAGGAAAAAAAAGACTATTAGTTATATATATATATATATATATATATATATATATATATATATATATATATATAAACAGTATATATATATATAAACAGTATATATATATATATATATATATATATATATATATATATATATAAACAGTATATATATATATATATATATATATATATATATATATATATATATATATATATATATATATATATGACAACATATATATATATATATATATATATATATATATATATATATATATATATATATATATATATATATATATATATATATATGACAACATATATATATATATATATAAACAGTATATATATATATATATATATATATATATATATATATATATATATATATATATATATATATATATATATATATATATGACAACATATATATATATATAAACAGTATATATATATATATATATATATATATATATATATATATATATATATATAAACAGTATATATATAAACAGTATATATAAACAGTATATATATATATATATATATATATATATATATATATATATATATATACACACATCAGGGTTCCCACTATTAAAACTAAGGCTAAAATTAAGGATTTTAAAGAGATTTAAGGAGATATTTTCCTAATATTTAAGGAGATTTGGTCGCGAACAACATTTTTTTGAAAGAAAAAGTAAGGATAATTAAGGAGAAAATGATTACATTAAAAACATAATCTTATTTTTTCAATAAATTTAAATATAAACAGAGAAATTATTATTACTTTATATATATATATATATATAGTAGGGTGTCCCAAAAAAAAAAGCTCTCTACTGATTCCCATTCTATGTGACCTAAATAAGTACTAAAAAAAATTTGACGGTTTTATTTTGACAGGAAGTGCTAGATGTAAAATCTGAGTTTTACTGTTTTAATGTTAAGCTAGCTTAACATTAATAGAAAACACATTTTAGAAAATTAAAACAAAACAATTAGATGGGTATAAATCATTTCCAATTGTTTTCTATTTAACTTGATAGATTATATTTATAAATATGAAAATACAAAAAAAATACATGAAAACTAATATTTATTAGCAAATTTAAAATTTTATTCCAAAACATTTCTCGAAAAATACAACTTTTTGAACAGTTCCCAAGCTCCTTTTTAGTCATAGTCTTAGTCAAGTTTTTTCTAGACTTTTTAACTACAAAAAGTACATTTTGAAGGTGATCTTCATCTCTAGTAGCTGAAATAAAATCTTTAATGAGCTTAATGTTTCTTTCTGCACCATCATTTACAACAGATATGTTTTTGATCCATGCAATAAAATCTAGCAACTGAGGATGGTTAAAAACATCTATAGTGTTAAGACTATTATTAAGCCATTCTTTTATACTTGCTCATGATATTTTAAAATGTTTGAAGAGAAGGTAGATTTGCTCGGAAATCAACTCAGGTAGCTCTGTGGTCTCTCCAATTTATACATTTGATGGTTACAACGCTGAAATTCATTTGGCTCTTCAAACTCAATCAGAGCTAACAGCATTCTTAGCTTTGTTTCAGAAGAAACTTCTTTATCCCCAAAGGAAAAAACACAGAGTTGCGGAGTTAAGTACCACGTATGGCGTCCCATGCTGAGAAGCAAAGCATTTCCAATATTCTTACTAACTTTTCTCAATGCATAGGCTGTCTGGATAGCTTTCAAATCATTGTAGGGAGCCAGAAATCCTAAAAAAACTTTTTAAAAACCATGGAACATAGCAAATTGCAATGAACAAACTTGCATCATTCAACTGCAGCATTTCTTTTTCTGTCAAGATATTACTGATATCTTTAGTCATATAAAGAGTTAGGATGTAGATCGCATCTGCTAAAAACCTTGCCTCATGGCAGGGGCCAGGTTGATGGAACTTAAAATCTTGCACTTCCACTCCAAGGAAGAAGGAGGCAAGCTTACAAACTATACCATAATCATTCCTTGAAAACACTATATCAGTAGTTGCATTAGTCAAAAATGTTTTAGCTTCCTCTGCAACAGTGCGAAGAACAGAGCCAATCTTCAGATCATCTCTTTGCCAGTCCAATTTACATAAATTTTTCACTTCATTCACTTTCTCACAGATTTCAGGCCACTTGTTCTTTAGCTTGACATAAAGAGCTCTTCTTGGACCTTTAGCTTTCTCACCAGTAAGGGCAGCCATATAGTGAGATACATGTACTTCATATATGTGTCTCCTACACATTATCCACAAAATTGGTAATTTCAAAATATCTGTAAGAATTTGGACTGCTCCATTTACTCCGCCTGTATTGCTTGCAGTTGTATCACAGAATATACCAATGATCTGCTCTTTACATCCGTAATATTCTAAAAGGTTGTGCACTTGTTCTGCTTGGTCAACTCCCTTTGAAGAGGGACATTGAACAACACCTAAAAGATGGTCTTCCATGGTATCGTCATTCACTTAAAATTGCCAGATGAGGTCGTACACCAACATTGAACTTTGTTGCTGGAATAGCAGTACATTCAATGAGCTTATCAACATTCACTGCTAGATTTATCCTATCTCCAGAATTGTACCTAGGTATCATTTTATAATATTTTTCTACCTATTTATAATTATATACTTTTCAATAAAACAGCTTTAGCTTGTGAAATTTACAACTATGTTATTAAAATAATACTATACCTGCGTTTCCGACCGTTACCCAGGAAATCATCTTCCTCGCTGATTTCAGAGTCATCGTTTTCTTCCTCACTGTTGAATTGAATCTCTTCTGTCATGGAGTCATGTGACAACAAAACATCATTGATATCTTTTAAGTTTTTCTGTCTCTCTAATTCTTTCTCTCTCAACTTATCTAGCTTGCTCTTTCTCCTGTTTGCATCCAGTACTCTTCTACTGTAGTCTTCATCGACTTTTATTTCCAAACATCCTTTCCTATGTAATTTCTGGTCTTCATAAAAACTAAGAAATATTTAAATCTATTAAGCCATTTATAAATAATTTAATAATTGTTCTAGTTTTTCTTGGAAGATGACCAAACCATGTAAAGAGATAAACGTAAATATTTTAAAGGAAATAATATGCTATTACTTAAGTTACTTTTAATTGGAAAAAAAATCTCACTACTAAAAAAAGTGTTATTTAATGAACTTACTTTATATCTTCCAGCTTGGCATCATCTGTTCTCAATCTATCAGCAAGAATATCTTTTTTAAAATTCTTAGTCGAGATGTCAAAAAGCTGATAGGATTCTGTGAGAAAATCTTTAACTTTGATTGCTTATCAAGACTGCTGTTCCAGTTTAGAGAAGACAATTTAATTAATTTCTTGTATTTTAAATTAAGTTTAATGATTTTGGTCTTTATATTGTACCCACAAGTCACAAATTTCTTGCCAAACCTAGCATTATCCCAAATTTTTTTAATCCTAGATACCAAGCAAGAATTATCAGGATCTGTACAAACACCATTTTCACAAACAAGATCCTTGGATTTCGATTTCAATTTGCAACCAACATTAGTAGAAGTGGGTTTGTATTTAACTTGTGACTCGCGAAGGATAAATTGATAGTATCTAAGAATATCACCATTAGATGGAAGCTGTCTCTGAGGTAACTTCCTCAGTGGGTACTTCAATAGGTAAATATACCTCAACCTTTCTGTATTTTTCCATTTTTTCTTATTCTGTCCTATCATCTTTTTTTTAGCTGTTCTACCCATCTTTATATGAATTTCGAAATAATCAGTTTTTTAACTAAATTTTTACTAAATGTTACACTTGTATCAAAAATCTATGAAGTCGTTATTCCCTCTCGTATAATATACCGTTACGGTATTTATAACCGTTTACACGAGAATTTATTCGTGCACAAATTAGAATTCCGTCGTGCACAAATAATTCCATTTAGAAATTTTTTCCTTCAAAAAAAATTTCTAAATGGAGTTATTTGTGAACCAATCCATGGGGAATTATACCAACTAATAATATTGTCCAGAGGGAAAAATATCAATCGCTAACAATGTTCATAGGGAATGATCCTATTCTTTAATAATATCCTATGGGAATTATTTGTGTACTAATTATTACATCATATTAAAACATATTGAAATACTAGATAGCGCTGTTTTTTAGTAAATACACATATGTGTACAAAACCATAAAACTCAGAATTTACATCTATCACTTCTAGTCATTAAAAAGTTAAAAAAAAGATTTTGGTAGCTATTTAGGACCTATAGAATGGGGATCAGTTGAGAGCACATTGGAATTTTAAAAAAAGTGTGTTTTTGGGACACCATAATATATATATATATATATATATATATATATATATATATATATATATATATATATATATATATATATATATATATATATTTATTTATATATATATATATATATATATATATATCTTCTTTATTAACAAGTATAATCCATTCACTTTAAAAAAATTTTCTAGATAATTAAAAAATAAAAAATAAGGAGAAATTAAGGAGAGCAGTCAAATTTTAACTTTTTTTAAGGTTATTTAAGGACATTTAATGAGGTTTTTATTTTTAAAGGATATTTAAGGTTTTTAAAGAGGTGTGGGAACCCTGTGTATATATATATATATATATATATATATATATATATATATATATATATATATATATATATATATATATATATATATATATATATATATATATATATATTGATTTTTTACCAACCTCAAACACTTTTAGGTCGACATTGCCAAATGCTGACCCTAATTCTGAGGGATATATATATATATATATATATATATATATATATATATATATATATATATATATATATAAATTTGTTTTATTAGCCATTACTAGCCATTAATTTACTTCACATTTAAGTAAAGGTATTTATAGCAAAGATAAAAGATAAATTATTTTAATGATTTATTTTCTATTTTCATTCTAGATATTTATAATATCAATATTACAATTAGATTTACATAATATCAATAATAAAAGACAAAATGTAATTAATAAAAATAAAACAAATTAAGAAAAAAAAATTTTAATTACCTTCAGTTTGTTTAAAGCATCATCTGGTGTTAGATATCCTATATCAGTATCTTGAGGGAAGGAAGCTAAATGCTGTAAAATATTTTTTTGTCAATTAAAAGAATTTATTTATTTAACCAACAATGAACTATTGGTGACACCAAACTTTACCTCAACAAGAAACCTCAAAGATTGATTCTCCATTCCTGCTATAAAAATTAAATAATATATTAAAAAAAGTTTTCAACCTCGGATGATTTGTTCTTATTTCTTTATATATTTAAAAAATACTTGAACTAAAAATTTTTTAAATTAAAAAAACTAATGTAGAATGAAATTAAGTAAAATAGAAAGTAATCTTATTAATAGTTATATTTTAAATAAATTTAAAATTAGCTATAAATAACTAACCTCCACTATAAGGTGAACCACCCTGGTTGAAAATCTACAAAAAAAATTTTTTAAAATAAATATCACAAAAATACTATTAGAAATTAAAGAAAAATAAGTTAATAAAATAATCTTAAATAGTATCTCTTAAATAATTATAATTGTTAACTTATTTATGTTAAAATATTTACAAGCCATTTTGTTAATAAATTCACTTTTAAAATAAGCTTAAACATAAAGATCAATATGATAAATAAACATGAGTTAATCTACAGGAAATGAAAGTTGACAAAATAAAGAAACAATTTAAATTTGGAAGAAAAAAGTTGAAAAATCAATTCTGATAATCATAATAAACTTTTGATAATAAATTTATAAAAATAATAAATAAAATTTATAAAAATAATAACTTTCACTAAAACACAATATACAAAAAGTAGCTGAAAAACATGATTTATAAAAATGAAAGAATAATAAACTAACCAATAAGCAAAAAATACAATACAAGATTAAAGTCAAAACAAACAAATTTAAAGGTTAAAAAAAAAAAAATGACTCTTTACTAAAAAATTCATATTCTAACAATACAATAGAGCTCACCACTTTTTGTATAATGCCAGGCATATCAGTACTTTAACGGTAAATAACATGCTCTTTCTATTAGACCAGAAAAAGCCAAGAAAACTTATTATTTGAACTATAGTAAAACTGTTTGAACAAGATTATAAATCAAAATATGACAATGAAATACCTAGATAATTCATCATTATTAGGGTTTGTAACCATAACAACAGACTGTGGATTTATAAAAACAAATGTTATGCAAACAGGGATATGTAGGAAACATTTGTTATATATTATGCAGTTGACATCATGTTTAATATTTGCAAATTAAAACAATTGTATTTATGGTATTAAATTAGATTTGTGCTTATTTGTAAAAAATATTTTATTATAATAGAAATAAAATTTAAATATTATTTAAAATCTTATAAAAAATACAACAAAACTTTAAAACAAATGTTTTTTAAAATAAAAATATAACAATTTTAAGTATTTAGTAATATAATTATGTTCATACAACTGAGTCAAGTAAATAAATTTAAAAATTAATGAATCAACAATATCAATCAAGTTCATTAAATAAGTGAAAATTTTAATTCTTTTAAAAAAAAAAAAAACTATTAGCATGGTTGATTGATTCCATACAATATCAGTTAATTATTCCATTTAAAATTTTTCATAATAATTATACAATGGTTATAAAACAGTAGGATTACATTCAGTTTTAGATTAAAGTTTTATTCAAACAAAAGAATTGTAAAATGTAATAATTGCATCTTTTTGAATGAAGCAAAAGCTTGTAAATAACAAAAAATATACAAAATAAATTTTATCTATTTTATATATATATATATATATATATATATATATATATATATATATATATATATATATATATATATATATATATATATATATATATATATATATATATATATATATAAACCAATTTTATATATATTATATATATATATATATAATAATATAATTATTTATATATATTTTATATATATAATCCCACCTATATATATATAATTTTATATATATAAGGATATTTAGCCATTTTATTTCTGATTACAATTAAAACAAAAAAACATAAAATCTACAAAAGCATAAAAATAGTTCATTAACTTTTAAAGTTCTTTTAAATTAATAAAAAACTCATTAAAATTAAAGTTATAAAATAGTTTAATTAAAAAGTAATCATTTAAATGTTTTAATTACAAACATTTTTCAAAATCTAAAACAATATGAAAAATTCTAAGGTACTAAATAAATAAAGTATTCTACAGAAACCATAAAGTATAGCACATAACTATAGATTCTTAGTACAAAGAATTCTGAAAAGCTAATTTAATTGTTTAAAAACTTTAGGAATAGCTATGCTTTTAAAATATTATACTTCTTCATATTAAACATAAAACATTTTTTTTATAAACAGCTCACAATTTAAACAGTTTATGAACAATATTTCTGTGACACTTTCAACAAAGAAACAAAATAAAAAATGAATAATGTTAAGTTTTATGTTTACCCATTAGTATTTAATAAATATGACAGTTTTAAATACTTGAAACTTTTTAAATCAAGAAAACATAGATTAACATGCAAATTTGAATAAAAAATTTTGTGGTCTCAATGTGTTTATTATGGAGTCATAACACATAATTTGTTACTAATTATCATAATTATCATAATTTTTTTTTTAATTTAATTCACCTCCTCAAGGCCGAGAAGGCCACTACAGACGAGGAGGCTACTTATTTGTGGTTATACTCTTTAATAAAATTTTTTGAAAAAAACTTTTAAAAACACTTTTCATTCTTTTTTCAAAATTATATATTCAAAATAAAAATAAGTTTAAAAAAAAAACAACCAAATCAACATCAAATTGCACTCTTAAATCTCTCCTGTCTTACTTTATACAAACTATATATAAAAAAATTTAAAACAAAGAAAATTTTAAAAACATAAAAAATTTGCTTACTGATTCTGTAGCACCTAAAAAATTAAAAAAGCATTATATAATGATTGAATAAACATATAGACAGATTATTATTTTGTATAATACTACACACAGAATAAATACCTTTTTCATCTGACAAAATATTCATATAATTAGAATTTTGTTTGTTTAAAACTTCATCATGACAAAATTTAGCATTTTCATCAATGTTATTTTGTTTTTCTAATGCAACTGGATTAAGAACCATTATCTACGACGATACCCTGAAACTGGAGAATAACAATATTATGCAAAAAAAACATAATATGAAACAAGAAAAACAAGAAAAATAATTTAAAATTAAAAAAACTGGGATTTTTATTTAGTTTTTAGTGCAACTTTTTCACAATTTTTAACTCAAAAGAATCAACTGTACTAAATTCAAAAACCCCACCCCTAACCTTAAGTTACAAAAATGTCAAAATGTAGCTTTTTTCTTTTGAAAGTTAAAACATTTACAATATGGATATATCATTATGACACAATTTATGACATAATGAATAATTATATTATATTTATCATTATGTGATTACTACTATTTAAGAACAATATTACATAATAAAATATATTCATTTTTTCAAGTAAAAAATGAGTTTTTATTTTCAAATAAGATTTGAAACAATTAAAGCTTCACAAGGGTTATGTTTTTTTTTTTAATCCATAAAAATTTTTTTTAATTTTTAGTCATATATCTTTTGTGATATTTATCTTTAGTGAAATCTTTTGTGATATTTTGTTTCTGAAAATGGCCCTCTCTTTTATATTGTTTCTGATTACATTGAATATAATTTCTCTACTCTAGAATAATATTTACTTATATCTGGAAATAATACCCATCAAATAAAGTGATGTGTCTAAAATACCATTGATACTATCATTTTTATCATTAAAAATATTTGAGAGCTCTCTGATTCATCTATGGTCTAAATAGTCTTCTTACATTTATTTAGAGTATAATTAACAAATATTTGGTATCTTACCTTAAACCTAACTACCTTTTAACAGTCAAAAAGGATTTAGATTTTCTTTTTTGGCTGCTCTAAATAGTTATATTCAAAAGATATCTTTTCATAGTTATATTCAAAAGGTATCTTTTTATAGTTATATTCAAAAGATATCTTTTTTTTCTTAATATGCTTCTAAATTTTGTTATTTTTTAAGTTAGATATTTTCTCCACACGGCAGTATTAATTGTTAATCGTTAAACTTTGAAGAATTTCTTGTGCTCTCTATACAAAGAACTGCGAAGCAAAATCTATTGGTATAAGTACATAAAAGGCTTTTCATATGGCTATTATGAACCTAGTATGTAGCATTGGATCCTCCATAAAAATTTAGACAATTTTTTTTCTTTTTAAATTGTTAAAGATGTATACTAGAGTTGTCTCCAAGATCCTCCTTTATCATTATATTCATCAATGATCTCATGCAAAATCTACTTCTTTGTTAACATATTTCTCAATATCATATTCATTATCCTTATAATATTATTCTTCTATGAAATATCTGCAGTTTTCTTTTCTATCCACTCTCACAATTACTCTTCAATCAACCCAGTTCTCTTTATACTTAAATACTCATTTGTAATTTATAAGGATTATACAAACATGTACATATGTGTGTATATATTAATATGTATATATATAAATATATATCAGGGATGCGGAGTCCCAAAAAGAACTCCAGATTTGAATGTCAGAAAAAGATTACTTCGTCCGAATATTTGGTATCCAGGAGCTCTAAAAATATTAATAAGTTTATGGACTACTAATAGGAAAAAAATTAAGACTTTTAGATTAGACGAACAACCATTTTTTGAGCCCGGAGTCCTTAGGTATAATGGTGGCAAGGACTCCGGTCTTAAAAACAATAATTTTCAAGTCATTAAATTTCATAAATTTTTTTCTTATAGCAGATCATAGGTCAACAAACATGTTTCGAGCTTCTGGACACTACAGACTTGGAAAAAGTAGAGATATAAAGTCGGAGTCCTTTTGGGACTCCGCATCCCTGATATATATGTATATATATATACATATTTTATATAAATATTATATATGTATATATATATATATATATATATATATATATATATATATATATATATATATATATATATATAATAATAATAATTTCACATATATATTCATACTTATATTTATATATATTCATTACATAAATATTCATATTTAGTATTCTTATATATATATATATATATATATATATATATATATATATATATATATATATATATATATATATATATATATATATATATATATATATATATATATATATATAGATTTATTATTCATATATTACATATATATTCAGATTTATATATAATAATAATAATTTCACATATATATTCATACTTATATTTTCAAATTAGATTTCTTAGTTGTTAATGAATTTAACAATTAAAAAAAAAACAAAAAAAAAAAAACAATTAAAATTAAATTCAAAATATCATACATTTTAAATGATTGCTTTTACTTTCTACATTAAAATCTTTTTAAACACTGAACACCTTGCAGAATCTTATTACCTTTTGTTTACTCTTTTATATCTTATAAACAAAAGAAAACAAAATGTTTGCTTTCTTGCATGGATAAAAAAAAAAAATAACATACAAACAATACTTTAAAAAATAAATATTGTTTTTATAAATATAATTATATATTTAAGACAAGAGGGGATTGATTAAAAATTGTTCAAAAAAAAAAAAATTAATTGAATTGTTATTAGAAAGAATTGTATTTTTTCCGTTATATTTAGTTTGATATTTAAATTTCATGAAGTTTTTACGTTTTATTTTAAAATTGCATTACTTATAAAACTTACCAAATAAAAGTTACAACGCTTCATTCTAAAACACTGGTACTTGGATTTGTCTTTAAATGATGAAATCATAGCAAATCTGAAAAGTAAATATGGAAAATAAATACTAAGTTTTTATTTAAAAATATTATAAGAATAAATATCATGAAATCTTCAAAAAAAGAGTTTAAAGTTGCAAAAGCGTCTATATTTTAATAAAAAATTTTATAAAATTTATGAGCAACTATTTAAAATAGTAATAAACACATCTGGTAAACTTGTTGTTTACTTTATTGTTTACTCTTGGTGAAAATGTCGCGTTGCAAAATTATTAGGATTAAAGCGATAAAAATCGCATCACCTTCTTCTTTAAAAAAAAAAGTTATTGTTGACATTGAACCTAATGTAAAATAGTTTATATTAATTTATTTCTTAAAGTGAAAATTTAAAAAATAACACGGAATAATATTACCTTAAACATTTTACATCTACGTGGTTTTTTTTTTTTTTTTTAATTTTACATTTTTAGTAACTGAAAATTTAATTTTTACAAATAAACAAGTGTTTTTTTGAAGGTAATAAAAAGGTAAGGGTGCTCTAATCAATTCCGCCGAGAGGGGGGTCGTATTTATAATATAGGAAAAATTAAGGGCGTCAATCAGGATTGCTGTCACAGGCGGCGTGACAGCTCTCGTCGGCCCTGGCTCTAATATTCAAAAAAACATATAGTTAATATTACAAGAAAAAAGAGATTACGGTCCATTTTTAGATACCTTCGCTGGAGCCGAAAGTTTGTTTTATTTTTGCAAGCAATGTAAAGATTTCGGACACTGAAGTAGTACTTAAAATACAACTTTTCCCTATTTTTTGATGCAATAAACACTCAATATTTAAGCTTAGTTTCAGTTTTCAACTACCAGCATTGCTTGATTGGGACTAAGAGGTTAAGGCTAGGGGGAACTATAGCCCCCGCCCTGCTTTTTTTTTAAAGAGATGAGATAAGTATAATCAAGTTTTGTCTAGCAAAATTTTAGATCTTCAAACTTAATATAAATAAATTATAATACTTATTTTTCATGAATATTTAATATACTTTTTTAGATAAGTACGTTAAAATAATTATTATAAATAAAAAAATAAAAAAATATTGTAATACTGAACTTAGTAAATTCCAATGATTGACGTTAATGAAATAAAAGAACAAATGGAAATAGAATGTAAGAAAAATGACGTTACAAACTCCTCAAAATTAAATAAGTCAATTTGAAATATTTAATTAAATGAAATATTGCAAGTTTTTTTAACCGTGAAAAGTCTGTGACTGATGATAAATTTAAAAGACATATTATTGAAATGGTTGTAAGATATGCTCTCTCTTTGAGTTTTTTTTCTTATTTAGATTTTTTATTTAAATAGAAAAACGTCGCAAAAATAAAATGTTTCCTTAACAAGGGAAATTATTGGAAAAATGAATATTGAAAAAGCTAAAAAAAGTTATATAAATTAAAAAACAAAAAAAATATTTTCAAAATCAACATTAGGGACTGACGATATCTCTAACATGTTGAGCACTTTTGAAAAGTTAATAATAACACACACGATCTGCTAGAGTCTAATCAAATTGAAAAACTTGATTGTTTTTGTTAGCTTGAAGTAAAGAAAGCAATACTAAAATATCCCAAGATGATCAAAGACACTGCCCAATTAGTAATTGGATTGCTACCAACACAAGTAAGAGTTGAAAATGCTTTACGTGAGTTTTAGCGCCATTTCGGTGAAGGAATATTGGTTTATTGAAGAAGAAAGTGATAATAGCTTATTGCTACCTAAATTAGATTGTGTTTTAGATAATAAAGAACTTACTTTTGCTCATCTGTAGATGATCTGCCCATTAATTATTTCAACAAAATAAGGAGAAGGGGCGTCAACAATATTACTTTTTAAATAAATTTAATTACTTCGAAAAAAAAAAAAAATAATTTATTTTAATTTTATTTGATGGGTGAGGGGTAGTTTAATGTTGACGAAATTTTATAAAGGGTTTCTGGAAGTTTAACAAGTTGTTGACAAGGGGGGAGAAAAGTAGGTAAAAAATTGCAAAAAAATTGTTGACATAATTAATGGAGAGCCCCAGCAGACAGCAACTTTACTTCCTTTACTTACTAGGTGTTTACAATTTTTAAAATTTTCAAAAAAACCAACAAAAAACGTTTTCTTGTGATTAACTGCTCTAAGTTTAAGGTAAACAATATGTATTCGACTGAAGACGACTATTAGCGATTACTCTTTATCAAGTAACAATATACTTAAAACTATTGTTTTAAAATATTTTTTTTTAATCACTTTTAAAAATTTTGAATAAAAACTTTTTTGTAAAAACAAATGTTTGGGTAGTCAATTTACTTTTACAATCAATTAACTTTATTAGCTAAAGTTTAACAACTCCCTAAGGAGTGTTAAAATTTTAACGAAAGTTTTTTCGTTGAGATTTTAACAATGTTTTTTTTTTTTTTTTTTTTTTTGTAATTTGAAATTGTGATTATGTTTTTTTTTTTAGAATAATAATAAGAGTATTAATGAAATACTATTTATTCTGAAATAACCTGACAAAATTATCTTTTACAATAAATTTTTTTTTGCGTAACATCTAGTGTCTACTTTAAACATGTCAAAAGTTAAAACATAAAAAAATTCAAACTTTTTTCTTTGTGGGCTTCTGTGCCATAGGAAAGTCTACTCATGCCTAAGTCCAGGCCTGGTTAATTGTCGGTATAACTTTGCATAAACAATCTGGTTAAACAAAATGCTATTTTGTTTAACCAGATTGTTTATGCAAAGTTATACCGATCACCCAATTTAGCCGGGCAGTTAAAGTTAGTACAGAAAATATTCGAAATTGTTTTGTGTCTAGGAAGAGAGGTAAAGATCAGAAGTTTCATATCTTCAACAATGTTTGGTTAAAGCAGGAAAACCACCCATAAAATTAACTATACGATTTGAACTCACAATATTTAATGTGAAGGTAATGAATGCTCTAACAAATAATAATTCAACTCAATCCAGTAATGTTTGCGTGGCAAACCATTCCAAATAAATGACGTTAATGCGATAAGGCTCAGGGTTTGTGATAAAAATGCATAAGACCTCGGGCAAAATTTTCTTTACTGCTTGATTTATATTTTTGAATACCTTCGACTTGGGACATAAAATGGATATTAGAAAGTTTCAAGCAAGAAAAAATGATGAGAATTTAATTGCGGCTCAACGGAAAAAAAATTATTTAACAAAAATGTAAAGAAGAACTGAGCCTCGTAATAGACAAACCCAGAACAGGATTTTGTAAATCAAATAATGGTAATACTTCAAGACGAGCACTTGAAGATTCTGAACGTTGTGCTAAAATCAGTAGCATGTATATGGAACTTGTCAAAAGACAGAAATATTTTGAAGGCTATTTGTTTTGGCAATGAGATTGACCCTGAAATATTTTACAAGTACCGCAGTGGCACCATTGATTTAATTATTATTCTCTATAATTGGCATGTTATATCATATTTTGTTCACTAATTTCTGGAGAACAGAGTTCAGATATCAGAATACTTTGAAATTCTCATAGGAATTTACGTAAATGAAGATCAAGAGGCTTTCTACAAAAAAATTCGAAATGCCAAATTAACTCATTTTTCTAAAATTTTGAGCTATTAAAATCCATCTTGTTTTTAAAAATGCTTATTTTTTACTTTTAAACAAACTTGTCTTGTTACAAAAGTTATTTGCTACAAATAGGCTTTAAGAATACAACTTCTGACTCTATTCACCAAATAGTGATTATTGTACAAAACGTTTTAAAAATAAAAAAGTAACACGTGACTTTTGTCAATAATTAGCAAATGAATGATGTAAATCAAAATCACAATAGCTCCTCCAACTCAATAAGAGCTCATACATAATCGTAACTTTTGGTTAGGAATTAATTTTCTTTCATGACGATTGAATTGAATAGGCTGCAATATTTTCTTACTATCTGCTGGATAGTTTTGATTAGCTGCCCATGCTGTTGTCAGCTTTGTCATCATTCAGAGGATTTATTTGAAAACTTGAACCTTCATTGTTGACATGTTTGAAGTTTGTTTCGGGAGGTTTAAATAGTATTGAAACGAAATCGTCATCAAATGTTAGATCTTTTTCTTTTTTGTATACACAACAAAGCAGACAGCGGCAGATGAGAGAAATATTGTTGTAATGTATACCCTTTGACTTTAACTTCAACAGTTGAACTATTATACTGTGTCACTATACTTTTTTTTAACCATTGTTGTGTAAACGGTGTAATACGCTTGGATGATATCCATACTTTATTGCCAATTTGGCATCCGTGAAACTCAGTCAAAGACTTTTGTGTTGATTTGACACTAACCAGGGCCGACGATACGGGTTTCGAAGTGGGGGGTACAACCATCAATTTCTAAAAAAGTCCTCAATATCTTGAAATTTCTTTTCCAAAAAAAAAGGTCCTTTAGAAAACCACCACCTAGTCCTCTGTTGGCGTTGACTATGCTATCGATTCCAGGAATTCGAATGCGTTTGTAATGCTTGTAAAACGTTACAAAAGATATGTAGTATTTTGATTTTGCCTTCAAATTTTTTTTATTCCATCCAAAGAACTCTTTCAAAAACTTCATATTTCGATAGTTTTTCAACAGCTCAATAAATAAGTTTTATTTCTCATTTTGACATTATGATTTGCATAAGTTGTGATCTAAATGACATAAAATTAACTAGAAGAACTTAAGAAGAAA